GCCACGAGAGGGTGAGCGCCCCTTCCTTTTCTGTTTTTCAGACATTCCTAAAAGCTGACATTTGTCTTACATAAAACTATTTACGGTATCCTTTATCTTCATATAGAACGGGCATAAATCTTGGCTCTGTGCCACTATAGGTTATTAGGAATTGCTAATAGCTATGCCACGAATATACATTTAAGAGGATACTCGGCCTATAAATTGTATGGCTCTCGCAGGCTGTTTTGATGCTGTATATGTACGTGTATATACAACTTTCTGCTTGCGCTGATGAAGTACCTGAGGCCCGTACTACGAAGCGGGATTTCATCTCATCGAGGTTTTATCTTCGGGTTTAATTCTGGCTTTTCGGTACCACGACGGTAACTTGCGCTCAACTCCTAAACTGCTCCGACGCAGGTTCACTTCAGAGGATCGGATGGAAACCTTTCACCGGCATAACTACCGAGTCCCGAGTGTTAAAAATAAAGCAATCCGTGTGTCCGCTCTGGTTTTAAAACAGAGCTTCTAAAACGATGCGGTTTATCGCGCTAAATAAAAAGCCCTATATAATAACTATTTATCATAGCTTCGTTTTAATTGAACAGATATTCTTTCATCCGACAGGATTCCACACATTGATGAAGCTTTCGCCGTATTTTCCGCACTATAAGGCGCACTTAAAAGCCTTTCATTTTCTCAAAAAACGACAGTGCGCCTTAATTCTGGTTGTTATGGCTACCGTAGTCAGTCACCGTAATATTACAGTGTGTGTGTATGAAGACCCCAAAATGGCACCTGTCGAGAAAATGACCTGCGTCGAGTAAAGAAGACCGCGCAGAGTTTCCGAGGGAACGAAGCCAGATGGCTGCAGTTAGAGGACAAAATTCAACAGTGGGTTACTGAACAGAGAGCGGCGGGTAGAAGCGTCTCTACGGTCTCTATTCGACTGAAGGCCACGGCGTTAGCGCGGGACGTGAATATCCGTGACTTTCGAGGCGGCGCTTCTTGGTGCTTTCGTTTTATGAAAAGACGTAATCTCTCCATCCGCACGCCGACTACCGTCTCGCGGCAACCGCCAAAAGATTACAAAGAAAAGCTGGCCGCTTTCCGCACATACTGCAAAAACCGGATCGCCGAAAACAAGATCCGGCCAGAGCGCATCGCCGACGTGGACGAGGTTCCCCTCGCCTTTGATGTCTTTGAGTTCTCGGTCGCCCGGCTAATGGTCATTTTCAAGAGGAAGACTTTGCCCAAAGAAAAGTTTCCGGCCGGCGTCGTCGTCAAAGCTAACCCCGAGGGCTGGATGGACGAGGAAAAGATGAGTGTGTGGCTGAGAGAAATTTACGTCAAGAGACCGGATGGCTTTTTCCACAAATATCCGCCGCTATCTATCTGCCGATGGACCGCGGATGCCTGGGCTAAGGTATCGGTCTCGACTGTGGTCCGAGCTTTCGCAAAGACCGGAATCATCGCTCGACTGCCGGGTAACGGCGACGACGCCGACTCGGATAATGACGCGCGCTGGATGCCGTAATCGCCCGACTGTTAAACTCGGACACTGAAGATGAAGAATTTGGGGGATTTGTGGACGTGGAAGAAACTGAAAAAAATCAGACTGTGTTTTTTTTTTTTTACGGGTTACGACTCGACAATGTTGAGAGTTATTGTGAACGTGTTTAATAAAGTTTGACTGACTTATCTGACTGTTTTCTTTCGCTTAATGCGCCTTATAGTCCGGTGCGCTTTATATATGAAAAAAGTCCAGTGATTACAACAATTAGTCACACGCCGTTCATTATTTCACTCACTCTGACTCATCAGACATCAACTACTACTCTCCCTTTTCTTTCTCTCTGCAGCAGAAACAGTCTGACAAAAGAGCCAAAATACTCATATGCAATGATAATTCATGCACTTACATACAAATAAGAAATAATATACAATCATATTTTTTGTTGAATGTCACTTTTGGACGTTGCTATAATTCAACTTAGCGGCAAGTATCGTTCACGGTTCTGACGACGCTGCTTATAATGAACAACTCCGCCTCGTAACTTCTTTCTTGTGACATCGCAAAGTTCCGCAAGTCCTGACGGCTCAGTTTCTCAACTTTCACAGTACCTAGACCTGCTTTATAATCAAACGACACGTGGACCTTTAATGTCCCTGCTTCTGTACAACTTGAGCAAGGCTACAAATATAAATCATGCATGGTTCTGCACTGATAGAAAAACACGGACAAGTTTGTGAAAAGACTGTCGATGAATCTACACAAAATGTCACAACTACCGAAACAAAGAAAATATGACGAAAGACTGCGGCGTGTCGTATGTCTCAAAATATTAGCTTCTGACGGTATGAAGCGCAACGAGTTAAGATGCCGCTTGGAGACTTCACGTCCCTGACACAAAGACGAGCCTGTCCGTTCCTTCCTCTCTCTCTCTCCTCGACTGTCGTGCGCTACCGAGTAACTTTACTAAAACGGCATCGGTGCCTTCGAATGCTCGACTTGCCCCCTACGAAGTAGCCTACGGAGTTGCTCGGTGTAAAAAGCCACACGCTATAGCTGAGGAATTAATACTTCCTTCTGCTACTGATATGGTTTCAACTATGATTGATGAAGCGTCGGCCAGCAAACCAAAGGCTATCCCTCTGTCAAACAATACTATCTCCAATTTATGACATGTCAAAAGATACAGAGGAGATTAATGACAAAATTCACAGCAACAAAGACTGGATATTGATAACGTACTGCAGACCGATTATTCAAAATCAGTGACACTTACTTAAAAGAGGCTGATCTGTAAGAAGAGGACTGGAAGGGGGATCTGCGAAGACGGGGCTCAGGCAATGGCTGAGGTGAGCCCCGATGGCTGTCACGTTTTATCCGGGGTGTTTGAATTGCCAGATGAGATCAGAATCTTCTTGGAGGAAGGCTGTAATCAACTTGCCCACAAGTTTAACAACAACAACAACAACAACAACAACAACAACTGTGACATGTTTCAGAATTTCAATAAACTAAACCTGCAGATGCAGGGCGGCACCAACACGCAGATAAAATGCTTTAAAAAAATTATAGATATACAGAAAAGGTTTGGGAACCACTGACATACGTTTTATCAGTTTTGCACACTTTGTAAAAGTTCCACACGGTACACAGTGCTTCTCTCAGCCACAGACACCGGAGTGACTACATGCATTATTTCCCATCTACCGATCGCGTATTTTTTAATGAAAATCGGATCGTAGCCCGTGGAGTAAATAGGTCCTGGTCTTCTGTCAAAGTGACTGAGAAAGTCACATAAACAAACACACACTTACCCACGCGATATAAACGACTGAAAACGGAAATAAGACCTATAGTTATCACTAAAAGACAATGCTAACGCACGCTGCTAATTAGTAAGCTCATTAGCCTTACCTGTGCGCCTCAGGTGTGTTCAGCGTCCGATCTTTCCAGTCATACTCGACAAAAGCTGCTTATTTTAGTAAACGTTTGTTGCTAGCAAACCGAAGCGATCACTCAAATGTTGCTTTTACTCCGTATTTTCATCACTTTTTCTCTATTTGTTTCTCCTCCGCCGCTGTCCTCTTTCTGCGGGAAGGCGTGACGTCCGCCGATCAAAACCTGATTGGTCGGCTGACTCTGCTCTGCCTAACAACCGCTTCTGATTGGTGGAAATAACTTAGATCAGCGCAGACTGTGAGAGTCTTACTTATCACCGTGACCACTGGAGGGCAATGAGTCTCTTGTCGCTTTACCAGTCCGGTTCCATCCACATTAATATGAAGCATGGATGTTTGCATTAAAGACATCACTGTTGGTATCAGTGTGATTACAACAATTCTAATAACAAAATTGAAGTCTTTTCATTTCATCTGTGTTCATTAAACTGACATCATGCCATCAGTTTTTTTTTCCACCACCAGAGGGCGCGACATCATCGTCAATGAAGAGCAGGAATCCTTCACTGTTAATGGAGATATTAGTTCCGTTAGAGCTCAACTGATCGATAATCAATCATGCTACTGTTGCAGTTGTAACAAACAGGGAAGGTGGGAAAAAAAAAAAAAACCTCTGTAAGTCATCATATGATTCAGGAGGCTGAACGTTACATTTATATTCAGTTTCTCAACCAAACCATGATCATTTAGATGAGATATTCTTGTGATCATTTTCAATCATTTTTTTCATCTCCAACTTATAAAAAGTAACAAATGAAACAAACAAAACATAAAACACTCAAGTAAAAGCAGGGGGGTTACATACCAGAAAACAAGAGGGGGGGGGGGGGGGACATTTTAATTTAAATTGGATTTTAATGGAACATTAAGTTTACAACGAAACAATTATCAATGCTCTTGAGATTAACAATGATATAATGGTAACATACTTATACGGATGCAAATTACATGTACAGTTCTAAAAAAAAATGAGAAAAACTGTTACATGACCTACAGGTACAATTGTGTTTATGCAGCATAAGATAAGTATCATCGCAGTCCTACATAAGAGACATCTTATTTTAACCAAGAGCAAATGTATATATATCATCACATATTTTTATAAGTGAATTTAACTTCTATTTCAGTGTTATTGTTGCTGATATTAAAAACATATGACATTAAAAACAGCCACAATACCCAGCCTCTTTTCAATTATTTATTCTCACATCACCCCAAAAAGAAAGATGACAAATGCTAATTCTGGTCCATTCCCCAGCTGGCTATCCAAGTGCTCATTAGTTTTAAAGAAGGTTAATCCATTTAGGTTTTGCATATTGATATGCCAATTATGTCTGATCGTGGAATAGGCATCCGTCAAGGTAATAGTGCATAAACACATGCAAGAACATTAGGGAGAAGTCAACGTTATAATAAAGTAGGTGTTAATTGGTGAGGGGATGACTGTCGGGTAACTCGTGTGTGTAATGTACAGCTCCGGGGGGGCGGGGGCGGGGTCGCACCGCCGTCGCCGGGATCTCTTCCAAACCGCAACGCTAAGCGTCTACCTTTATGAGTGTGCAGCTGTCAGAGTAAATTTCAGTCCGCTTTTCATTCATTTGTTGCTGCTGGCGGCGAGAGCTGATCCCAGAGTTTCTATGAAGCGGTGAACGTCGCTGAAGGTGTTGTAGAGCGGCACCGGAGCGATTCGCAGCACGCTGGGCTCCCTCATGTCGCACTGACAGACAAGAAGGTCAGGTTCAACAAAAGGCAGTTGGTGAACTACGCATTACGAGGATAAAAGCACAAAGTTACCGCACTGTTTTTACTAAACTGTTACTGTTTAATGCCTTTATTTTGTCAGCACTCACAGCGACTCCCCTCTTCTCCAGCTCCTGGAAGACCTTCCTGATGGGGACAGAAAAGGAGAGCGAGAGCTGGCAGCCTCTCTGCTGAGGGTCAGATGGCGTGATGACTCGGACGTGAGGTTTGCGGGGCTGGGCGGGGTCTTCGGTGTAGTAATGCCGGATCAGATACTCCAGGTAACCTGTCAGCAGGAGGGACTTCCTGCGCAATGCCTGCATACTGGTCATGCTGAATACCTGGCAAAATAATTGACCGATGGATTCGTTCGTTCGTTCGTTCGTTGTTGTTAAAACCCATTAAAATCGCGGCATTAACCAGTTTACTGCACTACCTCTAAACTGGCCTGCAGGGGGCAGACCAGCAGGATGGGCTGGTTGGACAGTCTGAAGCCGCTCACCCCAGGCTGCAGCTCCAACACTACAAACAAACAGGAAAACATTTTGACACCTCAAGTGGGACTGAGTGGGAAATATAAAACGAGGATTTCTTTTACCGTTATTCATCTGGAACCGAGTTTTCAGGTCATGTCCCCACCATCCCAACAGCCTGATGGACAGAGAAAAAAAACTGTGTACCTTGGTACTGATTTTAGAAGTGAAAACTTTCTCTTGTTTTTGTGTGTAAGAACTCACGCCGGTCTGACGGAGTCTTTATGTTTCTCGTGGACGAACGCTCCGGCTAGACCGCCGGCACCTGAATTTAGATACTGAGAGAAGACGGTCGGTCGACACTTATACGTGTACGGTATCGTTTGCGTGTGCGAAAACCTGAGGTCGGCTGACCTTGTAGGAGCACCAGCAGGCAAAGTCCACTCCCCAGTCGTGTAACTTTAACTCAGCGTTTCCTGCAGCGTGGGCGCAGTCGAACCCGACGTAGCAGCCCTGATGGACACACGGGATCGTTAGTTCTTCATTAGCAGTAACGTTGGTTAAACTGTTGTGTTTAATGTCTGACTTTCACCTTTCTCTGACCGGCCTCAGTGATGGCGGCCATGTTGAACAGCTGGCCGGTGTAATACTGCACTCCACTGAACATCACCACAGCGATGGAGTGGCCCTCCCTCTCGATCACCTCCAGGATGTCCTCTGTTCTCAGAGTCTCTTCTCCCTGAACGGGAAGCGCAGACATCGTTCAGCCACAGACTGACAGACACAGAATTTAAACGGCTCGAAGCTGAAAGCTAATGATCAAAATCCCCGTGTGGAGCCTGAACCTGTGCCAAACGCGTCGGGACGTACCGGTCTGGGCGACAGCAGCAGCATGCTCTGCTGAGGGTCGAATCCCCGCAGCCTGATCTGAGACTCGACCGCGTACTGAGGACAGGAGAGAGAGAGAGAGAGAGAGAGAGAGAGAGAGAAAGATTCGTCGTCATTAGCTGGGCAGGTTATACGGCCTTATTTATCCAAGTATCCCACCGCCTTTTACACTTTGAGGAAATAATAAAACTGTTGTTGTTCGCTTCCACGATAAATTATCTTTATGTATGAACGTGTATGAATCTGAATATGAGAATCAATCGTTTCTTGCTTTTATGGATTCACTCACATGGTCGGAGGGAAAGGCTTTGTCTTCTAGAAGGATTTTGTGCCGAGCTGCTGTGGGTTTGTAGAAGGAAAGCTGCAGAATAATGCAACAACTGTCAGTCCTCAAACATCTAAGGTTTCATTATTTCATTATTGTGGCTTTATTATCCCATTTCCCATTCACAGCTCTATGACAGACAAACTCAGACACTTCACACTCTGGACATTTTATCCATAATATACACTCCAACGGAAAGAAAAGAAACAGTTTCTCACCAGTAGAAGGTGTAAATTAACTGTCAGGCCGTTCATCAGTGCCACTTCTTCAGTTTTAGCTCCTGGAAGAAACAGAATATTGATCACAACTCAACAGGAGAGGACAGACGGGACCGTGGCATTATGGCCTCATCGTTTCACATTCATTTTAAGACCTTCACTTGTACTTTGGACTCTACAAAACAGACCTGGACTCAAAAGTGCAGCGACCTTTACAAGCCACCTGACAGAAAAAGTCTGAGCAAGCTGTATAAGTAAGTATACGAGCGACACAAATACAGAATATGCGAATATTTCACTAAAGAGCTTTGTGAGTTTGTCTGGACACAAACAGAAGTGAAAAACACAGACACTGACTGACTGACTGACTGACTGAAGATTAATACACAAGATTATTATTGATTATTGAGGGGACAAGGCTCACACAAAGTTTTTTTCAACAAGAACAAGGGACAAACAAGTGGACTGAGATCGGTCCGGATACATATCAGCTTACTGCCGATGACGCATTCACTGTCACAGGAGAAACTCGGGACTGAATAAACGGTCGACCGATAACTTCACCTCCACATTTTGGTTTTTAAATGATAAACCAACGATTTCATCTTCTATTACTTTCACGTGCTCCTTACATGAACACAAATAAGCAGATTAGCTGAATAGTCTCTCTTACCAACAACATTAGCCATGAGTTCCTCTATGTTGTTTTCAGCCCACCCCCAAGGTCGAGAGCCCAATGTGTGGCCGTGAACACCCCTGTAAAAACAGGTTATTTCAATGCAATAAAAAAAACACCTTTAGGTAAATACGGAAATACGAGCGTTTACACACATTTTCGACCATTTATCCAGCTCCTCTTCCAGATATTTTCTGGCCATTTTGGGCTGAAGCCCCAGAGAGTTCCCCACCAGGTAGATGCAATCCTTGCTGCCATCAACCAGGGAGAGATCAGCTACAGACACGTCACAGAGGAAGGAGTCCAGATCATTTTCACATCATTAACACTGAAATCCAGAAAACACTCATCTCCGTCATCTCACATGTATGTGGTATCTTTTACTCACAAGGAGGCAAATCTGCTATTGTGGGCACCAGGAAGTTCTCTCTGAGGTGTCTCAGTTTGTCATGTTTGTCCAGATATGAAGCCACCTCTGCAGAGGTCGGACTGCAGCCCAGCGACGATGAAACTCGCTCCAGAGTTTCTCTCGGGGTTGAGCCGATGAACTGGTCCATTGCTGTGCGAATGGGAGGCCGCTGAGCTGCAGAGAGAGGAAATACGCCGCTTTATAAAGTCACCGTACAAACTACAAAGACCCTTTTTAACCCCTTTGGTCCTCTTTCTCTCCGAGACCTGCCGTGACATGTGACATGTGACATGTGACATGTGACATGTCCGCCTTCTGACAACACGCTATCGATTCAAGGTGAAAAAAAAGCCCAAAATAAATATTTAATCATGCAGATCAAATCACAAAAAAAAAAAAATCAAAGAGTTGAGTTATAGCAGAAGATACAACCACACAGCTGCTGTAAACAGAAAACATATGAGGGAAATGCAATGTTACAGTGTCCAAATTCCATTTTCCACAATGTAATATGTAAATGTAGGAGATGTTTCTCATAAACATATTGAAAGAAACGTGCATTTGTTTATGGGGAGAAAAGTCACACTTAATTAACTTAATCCAAATGACAGTAAAGTTAAAATGGCCTTTTTAAACACTGTTCCAGTTTTACTGGACACGTCCAGCTGCTTTCTTTGACTTCTATCAGCTTTTCTAGAGGGTTTTACTTTAAACAACTTCTGCTTTCATTTCAAAACAGACAATAATCCTCTGCCTTCAAGCAAATTCTATTGTAGTCCAACGCCAAAATACAAAAGATACTGAGAGCTGTAACTCACAGTCGGATCAGCTGATTTGTAGTGGAGCTTCCTTTTTCTCTGCAGTCAGACTGAGTGAATCCTCTGCTCTGGGGATGCTCTTTAACCTATCTGCAGCTTTCAGTTAATCATTGTTCCAGTGAACCGACCTCGAGGCTGAGATAAAACCACAACTGAAAATTTAACCCTCCATGGGTCAGACTAATCCCTGTTACTGGATGTGCTCTGCGTAACAAGCATGCTTTCACTTTCAAATGTGCCAGTCCAAACAGAGAGTGACACACGCTCACGAGGACTTCCCCGCTGGAGTAGTCAGTGGCATTATCCGGTTCTTCCTGTTCCCTCGCCCCGAGGTCTGTGGGGGTTTTTTTTTTGAACGGGTTTTTGGTTCGATGCATGATGTCTGCACCATCCGACTACTAGTGCACCTCGAACAACCTCGTGTGTTGGAGAGTCCGTCTCTTCTCTCCTGTGCTTCATTTTCTTCTTCTTGCCACTGGATGGCAGCAGAGTACTGTGATTGGGTGCGTTCCACTGGACTGAACAGATTGCATGCTGGTTAGAAATGTTGCCAGATTTTCGCCATATATTATTAAAACCCAGACGCCGGGGGCTACAGACGCTGCACAGACTGGAGACCGCCTCTGTGACGACAGCACTTTGTCCTGATTGGCTCAAGGCTCCACTTCTGGTTCTCCCTGTCAAATGGGCAATTTCTTTGATCTCTGATCTCTCACTAGTGAAGGAGGTGAAGGCTGACGCATGTACAGCTAATATACCATAAATTCACTATATAGAGTCAATACAGGAGCACTATAATTATAGATAAGGTACATTATTGGCAAACTGTTGGCGGACCATCTCTTTCAATGTTTGAATTCATTTAAAGAAGCAGATAAAACAAGATTTCTTTTCTTCTTCTTCTTCTTGCTGCTTTTCAGTCATTGAATGAATATTATTTTCTAGATAACGATGCACATTTGGTTTTTGTTTTGTTATGGAAATGTAAACTGGAGAAACCTTATCAGAAAAGCACTTGAAATATTCCTGTAATATGACTTTGGGCACTTGTATTTTGTTTTCCTGGAGTTTTATTGAACTCTATCACCTGTATTACCACTATAATTAACATTCAGTAAAAGTTCACTATGGAATTACGTATATGTAGAGGTATGATCTTACCTTATCAAAGAGGCCAGTGTTGTTCATCTTCTTCTTCTTCTGCCTCATTATTCATCTCTCCCTCACAGCTCACCAAGCCGTCAGCTTTCGTTTCATCACGTTAGCCGGAGCTCCCGCTCCTGCTGAAGGTGATATTTTCCATCCACACTGCATCAAACTGTGCCGGGGCCCGAATGAAAACACACACAGTCTGTATTAAAAGCTTAAAACTGACTCTTCTTCACAGCAAACTGACACTGTATCAGCGACACCTCGTTGTTTGGGAAATGTCCCGTAATCGAACTCGACGGAGTGAGAAAACCGGCGCTGGAAGTTCAGAGGTCACACTGTATTGTGATCTACAGTATGGAGGTGTAACCTGACCTCAGTGAGGCCTGTGTGTTTTGACTCCCGAACACAGTGTCCATATGGCGCCGATAAACCGACTTCTAGAGCCTCACAAACACGACACCTCACCTTCAGGGACAACTATGAAGACGTGCAGGTCAAGCTGATTGACCTCCGACCCCTCCTCCTCCCTACCCTCGACCTTTGCAGATGCTGAAGGATCATTTTCGGTTCATCATTGTCTATGCCAAAACAAATATGTGGCGTTTAAGACATGAGGTTCTCGTTTGTGTCTTCCACATGAGCTGCAAATTAGCTTGTTGTTTCTTCTCTAAGAAAAACCGACATAAACAAAGCAACCAGCAAATATGTTTTTAACTCCCCCCTGCACTCTGAAAAATCACATGTCGTTTTAAACACACAAGGGCAGCACATATTACAGCCTTTTTCCAACTCGTGCGATTGTAAGCAAACATGTCATGACTGCATGTGTTGAGAAAAACACGCCGTGTTCGGAAAGGAAGCGCGGAGTTGATGTTATGAAAAGCTGAGCGTGCAGGCGTGTTAAAAGTGACTCATGGTTTTTTTTTTTTTTTTTTTTTTTTTTTAAAGAGTGCAGAGACAATATGGTCGCAAGATGTTTTGGGGGCAGTGGAGCTGCCGACATGCCTCGTGCATGTTCCTCCCTTGCCTTTCTCACAGTAAAAGAGGATGTGTGACATCTGGAAGCGCTCAGGAGGCAGGACTCTAACCCCCCCCCCCCCGTACGTTTCTCAGGGCACAAACATCAAAGCAGGCGGCAGATAATGTTTTCTCTCAAAGGTGCTTCAGCAGCGAGCCGCCACCGCTACAGCCTCACACCGGGGGGGGGGGGGTCTAATGTGGATGATGAGGCACTTTTCGACACGTATAGGACAGGTGTGAAAAGGCTGAGATACGGGACAAACTGGAAGTAGCTGGAAAGTATTTCTGTTGAAATATCCATCTTTTTCTGCAGCATCTTATCAAACACTTTTCACCTCCTTGCCTCCTACACAGTCTATTTAGTAGTTGTTCCAGAGCTTTCAACTGTTTCACAAAATCTTCCTCAACAGCTGGATTCGGCCCAGATATGTCCCATCCAGAAACGTGTTGTTGATACACTCTGCTCTCGTCCTGGATAAAAACAAAAAGCTAAAAGGCGTTTTCTGGTTCAGTAACAGGTGAGCTTCTTGATGTGATGTATTTCCTGTTGAGAGAGGTGACTGAGGGGTCAACCTGAAGTATAAACCAATCAGCGTTAAACTACAGAGAGAAAGACAGTTTGATTGGATAAACAGGTAAAAAAGAATTTGGATTTTTTACTTCAGCTGACAGTTTCAATCCGGGGGCTGAAATAATATTGTCAGTCGGTAAATGTGAGTTTGTGTTAAAACAATCTGTGGAGGGAAATTAAAGGATGGCCGTGACATATGTGTGTGGTTCAAGTTTAAGCAAGCTTTTATTTTGTGGTTTAATTAATCACACCTCATTTCCTGTCTTCTTTTTTTTTTTGCTGTTATGTGTCTGATTGAGACCAAAAAAAACTAACTTTAAAGTTAAGGCCTCAGTATGCTTCACGTGAATCATCCAACGTGACGGTCTGAGACTTTCTCACAGCGCTGTGTTGAGGGTCTGGATGAGAAGGCGAGTGCAGAACACCTGCTGCTGCTCTCAGGTCTCTTATTTAGTGGAAAGGTATGTCCCTTCCTCCCTGAAGCCTCCAGCACCTGATATTTACTCCACAGCGCGGAGGCCGACCTCCTCCGTTTCAGCTCTGCAGGTTCTCGCTTTCCCCCGCAGTGAAACCATGTCAGCCACAAACTGTTTCCAGTCTCATGAGGAGCTAATGAACTGAGTGAGCAGATTAGGCCTTTTCAGCGGTTGGTGTTTAGAAGGGCCGTCCTGTCTTTTGGTCAATAATTGGTGTAATTAAAAAAAAACATCTTTGGAAACGTTTTTTCAGTTGAGTGCTGAAGAACAGGTCTGGGCGAACATCTGTGTACTGTTTTACCTGCTTATCCAATATCATAGGTGTCTACATTTTCTGTGTTTAAGATTAACATATGTTTATAGTTTATTTTTGTTAAAGTATATTAAATAGCAGTATAAGAAGAAAATCAGCAGCTTAAACTTGAAAATTACATTCAAACAACTAAAGTTTACATCGTTTTTCAACTGTTCGATATTTTGAATAAAGTCTTTCACACTTGTTAATAATTCATTTCATGTGCATCATTTCGTTCTCACGTTTCTCTGAATTAACACTCCCTTCCTCTCCAGATGTTGACTGCTGGGAGCGCATTCAGCTGCAGCAGAGTTCGTGTACACGCAGTGTAGTAACATGTGAAGAGACTCGGTTCGTGTTTATTTCTCTCCTTGGAGACTGAATGCGATGCTTTTATTTTGACGCTATATATCTTCATCTGTGTCTTGCGGTTTTACAGCAGTGACTCTGGAGGCTTTTCCGCTCGGACTCTGACAGTTGGGATGGATCCTTCATTGATGTGATTTGTTGGGCCCACCTACAGGAACAGACTCTGCAGTGCTTGGTCCCCTCCTCCCTAATCTTCTCTCTTTGTCATCTCGCGCTGCGCGCCGGAAAAAGCCGCAGTCTCCAGCGAGCTTAAGCCTCTTATTCTGTAATTGCCGGACGGAAGTGAGGAGATAAGTGCAGTTTGTGCCACTTTTGAGCTTTCGTTTCTCCAGACTGTCAATGGGACCAGACGACTGAGGCGAGTCTGTTGCATCACTTCACCTCGGAGCCGCAGCGATGGACTGTTGCGCATACGGTTCGGTGCGCCTCCTGTTCCCTGGATATTTACGCATCGCGCTGCTGTGCCTGCTGCAACTAGAAGCGTTCGCGCAACATGGTAGGTGCATGTAAAACTTTGTTGTGGCTTTAGTTGGGGAAAAGACTCTAAATCTTTTGGTCTCCATCTGTTTTCACCTCTTAGATAAAAAAAACCCAAAACAAAACACTGTTTCTCATCTTCATGACAAGAGGCTTTTCAAATAGAAGCAGATGTCTAAAGCAACTCTTACCTGTCTAAAGCAGCGGATAGAGCAGAGCTGGTGAGCTGGCCTGAGCTGCTGCATTCCCATCACTCAGCAGGTCCAGAGTCAGTGAGATGGACCTTCACAAGACAAGAGCAAAGCTAATCACACACAGAGGAGACAGTGGAGTCAGACAAAGGTATTTTAGTTCTTTCTCAGGGTCTGACTGATCTAAAGACAGACATGGAAAGATAATTGCTGCAGCAGTCATTACCTGATCTATTACTGATCTCAGTCCTGGATGTGTGGAGTATTATTCCCCACCTGAACTTTATTCATTTAGAACTAGCTGATAAAACAGTTCAAGAAACGCTGCAAAAACAACATGAATAAAATCAGCAGACTTGTAAACAGAATCATTAAATGCAGCTGTAATTGGAACAAGACTGGAAAACAGAGATGTTGCTTAACACCATCCAGTAAACCGCATCACACTCGTCTCTGTGTGCTGTTTAGTCAGATTTCCTCTCCCATCATGCTCTTGTCTTTCTGTCACCGCTGTCATGACGTGTGTGATCGTAAATTTAAAACAGGATTGTAAAAGCTGCACAAAACCTTTATGATTGTAGCACATTGATTCCTTTTGTGGGCTGCTGTTTTGCAGGAGGGAGGCTCTGATTTTATTCCTCATGTTTTCATATCATTTATATAGGATGAAATAATAAAGTTATATGAGCATATATTAAGAGTCCTCTCCATCTCGCTCGATCTTTGTCTCCAGGACGAACAACGACAGATGAAAGCACACAGTCGTAAACTTAAAGACAGGCCGTCGTAAAACAAAATGCTGTGGGTCCTCACAGAGCTTTGCACCAAGAACACCAGGGATTTCTACACCAACCACAACACATTTTGTCCAGTTTGCTAAAAAAAAAAAAAAAACAGTTCCGGTTTAAGTTGCTGAGAGAAACGTGTTTAAATAGTGTCAAGTCTTCTAAATTCTTCCTCTGGCAGTGAAAGCCCTTTAACCCTCCTGACCTTTCAATGAAAAGTCCCAATGTTTAATAAGATGCAAAATAACTTCTCGACAAGCAGCAACGTATCATTGTCAGTCTAAAGAAGGTGGGTTATCTGACTTTGAAGCTTCGTAACCAAGAGTATTTCAATCAAAAATAAACATTTTTTGGATCTTAGTGTTAGTGCGTGCTATGAAACAAACGCATCTATGGTACTCAAAGAAAAGTCATTAAGCCATCAGGAGCCTCAGCCCAAAACTGGTCTTTAAATACCATGTTATTAAGCTCTGCTCTTAAAAGCAGACAATCAAGTTAAAGTAGCAATTGACACCTTTCCCCCCTAGTGTTTCCAAGCGGTATCAATTTTGGCGCCTTCTTTGCGTCCTCTGACAACGGGGCTCTTTCTTTTTCCACAGTTATGGCGTTTGTTGCACCGTCTACCGTTTCCGCTACCTGGGGAAATTTACCGATAGCCACCCGGAAAAAGGAAAGCACCGTCCTCTCTCTCTGTTTAGGTTGTGCAGTGGTAAGCGCACTTCCTTAGTGCCGTAAATTGAGACTTCAATTTTCCACAAACCTTCGTGGCCGGTGGCTTATAGAGAACCAATCTGAAGGCTGATGGTGTCATTATACTAAAGCCATTACGGCTGTGCAGCCACAGTGTTTTCTGTTAAAATAAAAAAAGTTGTCCATCGTTAAGGCCTATTACCTTGTCTGTGCTGTCTGGCGGTGAGTGACAGGCCCTCTGGGAAAAGGACCTGTAACCTCAGTTATGTTAACACCACGCTCTCCCAAATTAATCTTCTTTCCTGAGAAACAGGAGAATTCCCTGCAGAGTCCCTGCACATCTGGGCTGCTGAGGGCCCCTCTCTCAGTGGGAGCTCCTCCACCCAGGGGCCGGTTCATTAGCTCACCACCCCCCCCACTCACCCGGGGCTCTGTAAACTCATTAAGCCGCCAATTGGAACAGTTTAGCCAGCAGCCAAAGTCTCGCCAATTGTCCTCCTCCCTGAAAACCCTGGCTGTTTGGACAACCTGTGACCTCAAGTGTTGTCAGCCGAGTTTCCAGACGAGGTGTACACGCAGACAGGCGACGACGTAAACAAAACCATTTGCTTTCAAAGGGCTGTCAACATGAGGGCCAGCCTGTAAGACCTTGTTTAGGCTTGGGATCACTGGCAGTAACTTCGCCCTGTCCATTCAAGGCTTTGACAGTCTGGAGACATCCTAAATTCCCTCAGTGTTTGTTTTCCCTGACTTTACGCAGCCGCTACCGCCGTCAAACTCAAGCACAAGAAAGGGAAGCGAAAGAACAATTTGTTCTTTTTGTTCAGGTTCGCGAAGAAAGGCCTCTGTTGACGACTCTGACCCACTTCACTTCACAGACGTCGAGCTTTTGAGAGTGTGCTAGTGTGGAAAACTGCATGTTCTGCTCAAGTAATTTTCCCCCGGTTGTTTCGGCCCCCAGCTGCAGGCGGTGTTCTCATGCGCCATTGGCTTTAGCGTCCTTCCCGGGGCGAGTTTAGAGAGGTGAGAGGCTCACAGGAATGTCTGTTATTCTTAGCAATTTAGATAACCTCTGGGGGTGAAATGATCTTTCCAACTCACCTCCTTAACGCCAACTGACACTTTAAAGAGCAGTCACACTCTATTCTGTCGCCTTTTTCTCGCCACCCCTTCTTGTTGTCCATGTTGACAGTGAAGTTGAAGTTCTTCAGTGTCAAATCATTCCCTTTTGGAGCGTCACAGGCATATAAACACACTGCTGGAGATCCTCTAGGTTGTTTCATTGCTACATGGAGGTGCTGCCATAACTTCAAATGTACATCGCTGGAATATGCTCAATTAAATCCTTCAGTCTTTAACTAGGACCAACCAAGACTAAAGGATTAACTTTTATTTTGTGTGCAAAATAATCTAAAACCTGGTTTTTAAAATGAGCAGGATTGAGCTGTTGAAACTCTTAACATGCATTTAGAGGCAAAAGCAAAAAATTTGAAAAGCCAAGTCTTCATTAGCATATGGACTTTACAACAGGACACAGGTTATGATACCTCCTCATGTAACCACCTGTTATCATGAGGCCAAAGTTGCATACTTAACTCCATCCGCTGAGGAAGACCATGAGATGGTAGATAGCCCTGGAAAATGCTATTAAAGGGGATCTTGAGTTAATAGTTAATAGTTCCTCAAATTACTATTCCCAAGGCCAAGAATAAACGTTCACATTCCAGTTTAAATGAAGTCTTTTCCCTACCGTACACTGAGAGAGAGATTCTCTGTCAGGCCAAGGACAAGGAGTTGCTTTTGTTTTGTCTATCTCTGTAACGTCTTTCCCCTCAGATCGGTCCTGAACGCAGCCGAACCAGCAGGACTGTGTCGCAGATAAAGACATGATCTAATCCTGACCTGAGATTCTGCACTTTTCATTTCCTCTTGATTAAACTGTTTTTTTGTTTTTTTTTTGTGGTCCACATCTGTCAAAGCGAGAGGAAGGAGGTTTTAGTTGGAAATATTGATTATTCAGTGAAGGAGAGCATCCAAAAAGATTAAACTTCGCCAGAAGTGGAAAATCATTGAAGAGTTTCACAGCAGGGTCACATCACTGCTCAGTGTGTTTGTCACTTTCTAGTTTTCTTTTTGCCATAGAACAACATCTGCTGAATGTGTGTGTGAAAAAAAGCAGCATATTGATAAAAAGCAATATGGGCTGTTTTAGGCATTTGAACCTTTCCACATTGTCTTGGTTTCATTGCTCTTCTGCTTTCAGCTGCCCAGAGTTCACCTCTCTCAGCGCCAGAGTGTTCCCCAGAAGGCCATCAGACTTTGCATAATCCCTACCGGAGCGTCGACTTCGACTCCACAGAGATCCAGAACACTGCCATCCAGGATCTGATCTGTGACCACTCGATGTCGCCGGGCTGGTACAGATTCAGGATCAACAACAAGCCGGCGGAGATGCCGACCACCTGTGTTGAGGTAAGACACCAGAGCAGCAGGTGAGCTCTGTCAGAGAGGTGGTTGTTTGTTGCCCGTGCAAACATCTAGCGCCCAGCAGGCATAATAAGCACCTTCAGCCCAGCTGGAGGGTATAATAACCCCCTCCCTGCAGGTAATGACTGTTTCTATCGACACCTCCACCTCCATAGATGAACCGCTGTGGCACACAGGCTCCGGTGTGGCTGTCGCTGAAGGACGCCTCCCTGCCGCGGCCCGGCGAGGTGCGCCAGCTCTCCGCCTGTGCCACCTGGCAGTTCTTCCACGGCAGCGCCAAAGACTGCTGCCTCTTCCGCATCCCCATCTCGGTGCGGAACTGCGGCGACTTCCTGCTCTACTACCTGCAGCCCACGCAGGGGTGCATGGGATACTGCGCTAAAGGTGAGCACACTGGACGGGCAATTTGTTGTTGCATACTGGCTGGAATAAGGTCCAGTACCTAGATTTTTCTGAAGTGTAAATTTAATGATCTTTTTTAGCCAATAATGAAGAAATATTTGTCATGTTTTAGTTGCTCCTGATTTGGCACCAAGACTTTGCCCACCAGGTGAGCTGGAAGTCAACGGCCGATGCAAAGGTAGGACTCCTGAAATGTTTATTAGAAACAAGTTGAATATTTGTACATTTAACTAAATTATTCGGCATCATGTAGCGCTCCACTGATGATTGCCCAATTCTCTGTTTTCAGTTGCCGTCCCGTCCCTGCCCTCCCGGCCGGTGATCACACCGGAGCTGATCGGCCACAGCGTCCACCTCAGGTGCTCCTTCATCCCGCCGCCGTGGAGCCAGACGCTGGGCTTCCAGGTGGTTTGGGCCAGACACATCGGCCACAGCATGAAGGCTGAGATCAGGCAGGAATCCACGCTAAAGCCCTTCTCTCTGGTGGAGATGGATGGCGTTCACTTCAGGCTAGGAGAAACGGTAATTCCTGCCAGACAGTGTGCTGAAAGTTTCGGGGGGGCACATGTGGAGGGTTTGACCCCTCGAGCAGGCAGCGTAAGCCATGGATCATGCTGACCTCCTTTTGCCTGGGTTCAACCTTACAAAGCAAAAGCGAAGACATAACGTGTGTCATATCCCGTTAAGAAAAGGCAAGAGGAGGGCGGGGAAGTGAAATCAGTTGCAGGTTGGAAAAGCCTCGCTCCACATGCTTCCCATTTAAACTCTCCATTCGAATCTTCACAATAAATTCAAGGGAAGTTATTTTTATATGGACAGATGCACACGTATACAATGAAGCTATTTCTTCTGATACACTACTACGCTACACTGTTTTCTTGACAACTCGGCACTTACTCAGCAGGATTTGCTGCTCTTGCTCACAGACACTCTGGCACTGATACAGCCGCAGAATCGTACGTGCACGTCAGCAGTCGGATGGCCATCAGCTGTAGTCTTTTACCAGAGGACATGAAGTGATTCAAAGCATCTGATCAGTCAGCTTTTGTAAGCACTCCATGTTTGAGGTCGGCTTGTTGTGTCAGGACCATCACACTGTCTCTTTGACTGCAGCAGAAGAGCTGCATCAGGGAAACGAGGACGTAAGATCCGAGTGCTGATGGGAAACAAGAGCAGCAATGCTCTCATTCAGCACCCACAGACTGGGACAGAGGCAACAATATTCATTGCTTCATGGCAACAACTAATTGCTCCAGGAAATGAGAGCCGTCAGCAGCCTCTGTGTGGAAACGGGGCTGAGCAGCAGACTGTGGACATGCTGGAAAGAATAAGTTTAATCATAAGTTAGATTAGATGTAGAAACTGAGCTGATGTCACTCTCGCTGTTCGCCCTCGTACAGCTGTAGACCCCTGCGCTGCCATATTTGGACACCGGGCTTGTATTAGTTGTGTCTGGAACATGTTGCAGAGGGCTGGGCTCGCTCACGGGGCCCGTCTTTAACACATGTTGATGCTGCGGCTGAGTTGGGTCAAGGGTCATCTCCAATTTTTTTTTTTTTTCTTTTACCCAGAGAGTGAGTTAAGTGTTAGTGCTCTTAAGAGCCGTGGATCAGAGGAGCGCTGCGCAGGGAGATGTTTTGATAAATCACAAATACAGTGTCAGCCGTACATTGTTAGTCTTTCTCACCAGTAACAGTCACACATCGTAGGAATTTGAAGCGCTGGTTCTCTTGGAAATATAATCAAAACCAGTTCATGTGATGTTGTGGGGCTTAAAATGAAAAAGCACTGTGTCATTTATAAGAACAATTTTGACTTGATGTGATATTTACGTTAGCTTTAAAGTCAACTCTCTGATTGGATAAAAACTCTATTATACATTTAACTTTTCCTTGCAGTTCTCCTGCAGCGTGGCCACTGTCAGAGCCAACTCCAGCACCAACAGATCTCCCCCAAAGGAAAGTGAGAGTTTCTATGCTGGACTGAAGGTAAACATTCTTGTGTGATGTTGTAACTGCACTCTACACCAGGATAACAAGTGTCCTTCCTTTTTACTCACCAAAGGCTGCTTTTTTTCCCTCCAGTTCTCTCCAGACTCGCTCCACATAGCGGAGAACAGGAAGGAGCATGAGGTGACCGTGCACAGCACCGTGCCCATCCCCTGCTTCACCCCCGACAGCGGCCACCAGTGTGGAGTCCCTTTGGCTCTGAGCGTCCACGACCCAGGTCGGACCTACAGGAAAACAGTGATCTTTATGTAACTGCAAGGAGTTAATGAAGCCTACAGTTGGAGTAGACTGCCAGTTAACCATCGTGTTAGGTTGTGGAGACAGAAAGTCCTGATTTTGGCAATGAAATGGGATGTGCTGGAGCAACCGCCACAGCTGACCAAACATAACATTCTTTAAACCTCAACATCCCCTTAATTTGACAGTTATTATTAAATTAGTGAGAAAAACACAAGTTAGAGGAGCTGAAAGTGAGCCCAAACATAATTATTTAAAGAATAATGAATTTATTAAACATGATTAGAGGGCCAGGTTGCCCTCCTCGATCTTCTTTCCTGTTGGATTGTCTTCTGTTGTGCTCACACTCTCACGCTCACTCTTTCTTCATCATCACATGAAAGCCAGGTCAGGGAGACTTTATTACAGCTCTGCAGGCAGCTGCTCGCCGTCCATTAACACTAACTTACCGCTGTGTTGACATCCACAGACAGTCTCGGACACGAGGCCTCCAATGTGGCGCTGTCCGCCTGCCAGGTGGAGCTCCAGCCTAACGCCTGCAGCGAAGGCAGCTGCGGTCGGGCGACGTTTTTTGTCACCGCTGTCACTGATTTCACACGAGATGGGAACCGTCCGAGTCTGGTCGGTGCTCTGCCCGCACCCAGCGCACCACGACTCTGGAGGAGCTACGTCCCAGTGTCCCTGAAAGTGAGTTGAAGTGAAACTCCTTTAATCTCATGGATAAACACACGTAACTCTGTTTTCTCGTTAGTGTCAACTCTTATCTAGATCTGTGTAGTTCCGGGGATCTGGAGACGTACAAATTGTCATTGTGACCCATAATGGGGTTCAAGAGATCCTTGAGGATCCCCGTTTTCCTGGGGTTCATGAAGACCCATTCCTGGGGCTATGCTAACAAACTTTAAGAGGTTTTATAGAAGGATTGATGAGTACTCCGGGAGATTCCCGTCATTCCTGGAGGGTTTCCAGTGGTCCTGGAAGTCAAGGAAAATTGGAATTTAAGGCGTAAAAGTTGCATGGGAAGTTACCGTAGGTCTTTCAGGCTCTTTTATGAGATAGAAGTGGTCTGTGGAGATCCAGGAGCACTCATAGATGTTCCAAAAGTATTTTTATTGGATGGATTCTTGATATTAGGCTCCTGTGTTATGAAAAATGCATAGGATACGGTCCTTACAGGGGTTCCTGGGTACTCCTTGAGGATATCCAAGGGGTCTTTGAGGAGGTTCCAGTGGCGCTTAGGGATTCCAGGATTCTTGGAGGGAAATCTTTATTGGGTTTTCATATTTTTTTACAAGAACAATAACAATAAATCACAGGTCACAAGAGCCGTGATTCATGAGTTCTCCTGCACAGTAATGGAAGAAGAGTCAGGTCCAAGATAGTTCAAGCAGGGCTGCCAGACTTTGTAGAACTGGTCTGCTTTGATATGTAGAATATTCGTAAGATATTCCAGAGGAACCAGCTCAAATATGACCTTATACCAATCATTAACAGAAGGGCTCTCATCACTAATCCACTGTTACAATATACTTTTCCTAGCAGCAAAAGTAAGAATGTTAGATAGTGGTTATACGTCTACTTGGGAGGCCCAAAATCAAATATATTGGATCCGTTTCTAAATCCCTACCAAATATTCTTTCCATTTCACATAGTAAGTCAGATCAATATTTCTGTAATTTATGACACACCATAGGCAACGGGTTAAGGTACCTATTTTGGTTTTACATTTAAGACACAGAGGAGAAAGTGATGTACAGATGGATATCTTTTTAGCGTAACTCCAAATATCTTCCCATGTCTTCTCGCCAGTAGTCACTGATAAGCCCTTCTCCCATACGTCTTTTATCCCCTGTGCACTAGTAGAAGACATACCACACATTGCATCAAAGCAAACTAAGAGACACCTTCTCTGGATGTTGAAACAGCATTTTCTCAATAGCAGAAATCCAAGGATGTTCAATAAGGGTCGTACTCTTAGCAATATAATGCCCTATTTGTAAGAAACGGAAAAAATCTTGTTTGGGGAGCTGGTATTTCTTTGTCAATTGTTCAAATGCTGTTAAACTATTATCTGAGAATAAATCTCCCAGCTTGGTTAAACCTTTGTTATGCCATTGCCGGAAGGAATGGTCCAACATTCCTGGCAAAAAATCAGGATTGTTAATTATTGGAGTAAATGTAGAAGTCGATTTGAGCCTCCCCTCCATACGACGAGGTGACCGCCATGCCTTCAGAGCATTTATTGTTACTGGATTGGCACAGTTATCTCTTATGTCCAATCTTGAATTTTTTAACAGGGCACCAGGGTCCAAAAACAAATTAGGAACAACAGCAGAGTCATTTAATAATTTAAGTATTACTTTAATTGGAGATTATTAGAAAGACTGTTGTAATTACAGGTGTCTCTGTCACTCTGTGTACATATACACACAGTTATACAGTGCTTTATGGAGTTGGTGGGGAGGAGGGTGGGGGTTTAAAGTCTAACTGTTTGATGGTTTGACACAATGTTTGAGGAGCGCTGCTCTAAAGTGCTCATTAGTTGCGTCCACACAGCTATTACGTTATGTAAGACGTGATGTCAGCCCTCCAGACATCGTGTCTCTGAGGAGTCCACAGAGGAGCTTTCCCATCTGTGTTTAGTGAAAACATCAAAGCCCAAAGGTCAAAGGGTCAGTGGGTGGGGCCCCCTTAATCTTTGTTCTCCTGACCTCTGCCCCCAGGTCACGGTCCAGGACGTTCCTACTTCCATCTGCTACTCTCTGACTGACCCGCATGTCATTACACTGGATGGCAGGTAAGTTCCCTCCTTATCGGTTGTTAGCAGTTGTTAAATGGTCATTTAATTCCATTTATAATGTTGTTATAATAGATAGTAGTTTCAGTTTGCACCAGATGACATAACCTCATGTCCTTCTGTAAATTTGCTATGTGCAGGCGTTATGAAAACCACCAGACTGGCACCTTTGTCCTCTACCGGAGCCTCGTCAGGGAGTTCGAGGTGCATTCTCGCCAGTGGGACTGTGGCAGCCGACACTATGCTGTCGCTTGTAACTGCGGCGTTGCAGTGCGAGAGGGGAATGAGGTTGCCGTCTTTGACATGTGCAATGGTCAGCCGCAGGAGACCAGGCCACAACTCACCCTGAAGAACGTCGGTGACGAGGAGGGCACTCGGGTCAGGGTCCTGGAGTCCCACCAGGGGAAGAAGGTCACCGTAGGTATCCGAACATTTTGAAACTGGTGCAGATTTCTTTGGAGCATCATTATATGTGGTTTGGCTTCTTTAATGCTTGAAGTGTAGCGTGTCCATCATGTACATTTGAACGCACAGCTCTTTCAGGTTGTAAATTTTAAGAACTGGATGTGACTCTCCTCTTGTAGTTGCTCTTTCCCTCCGGAGCCTTTGTTAGGGCCGATGTTGGTGACTGGGGGATGAGCCTGTCCGTTCGGGCGCCCAGCGTTGACTACAGCAATACACAAGGCCTCTGCGGCACCTTCGACCGCAATGGCAACAATGACTTCCACAGCTCTGATGGTCTCTCCTATGGCCCAGATGACCTGCATCGCTTCATAGAGGACTGGAGGTCAGTCTGTTTGTTTTACTTTAAATTCGAACTTCGCTATGTTCGGACATCATTCGACTGAAATGGTAGATTGTTTAAAGTCTCCACAAAGCCATTTGTTTGTGTGGTTTTCCCATCCTTTGTGTGTGTGCTAGGATAGCTCCAGGTGAGAGTTTATTTGACAGGACACCCCATGGGACGGCACAGGAGTTCAGGAGGCCGTTCTGTCAGTGCCAGCAGGGATACAGCACTTCTCATCACGCTAGCAGAGGGATGAGGAACCTCTACAATCCTTCCGCTCACTCCGCCTGCATATCTTACAATAATGTGGATTACACATCTGTGTTCCCGTCCATGGACACCACAGTGGAATACATCAAGAGTCCAGAAAGAGAGGAAAGCATCCTGGATACGTCTGCCTTTAACAGTCATCCTCTGGAGAGGAGGCACATTGGGTTTCACCGTGAGGACAATCCAAAAAGTGATGGTGATCTTGAGTTAGACGGTGAGTTCAAGGAGGATCATCTGCTTTCCGTCGACAGGCAGAGGAGACAGGCGTCATTTGAATTCCGGCCTGTCTTTGCTACTCAAAGCTTCACTCAGGCTGATCTGGAGAATTTCGCTTACTTTTTCCCTGAGGATCACCTGGCAGAGGCCCGACCGGAGGTGCGACCCCAGTGGCCCACGCCAAGCGGCCTAACCTCGGCCAAAGCTCTGGAGGTGTGCCAGATGGCTTTGGCCAACTCCACCGTCGGCGCAGTGTGCCGGGGGCTACTGGGACGCCGTCTGGACGAGGCAGTGGATCTCTGCATCCTGGACCTGCAGCTCAAAGACGATTTGGGCTGGGACGAGGCTCTGCTGCCATACCTGGAGAATGAGTGCGAGAGACGGTTGCTGGAGAACCGGACCCAGAGAGCTTTGGAGGTGGCAGGTCCTCCAGGAGCGTCCGGGGAGGTGATGATGGCTCTGCGCTGCCCAAACTTCTGCAATGGAAATGGGGAGTGTACGGAATGGGGCTGCCAGTGTTACCCCGGCCACAGCTTCTACGACTGCAGCCTGGCCATCAGTGAGTATAGACGCGTTCCTCTGATGAGCTTCATGTCTAAGAGTGGTTTGACATCTGATTACAAGCATTAAATAACTAATCTTCTCTCTTTTGATTGACCTGTAATTTACTCCTGAGCTATAATAACCTCTCCTCTAATAGGCCAGCCAGTGGAGATAACAGATCTGGAGAACGGTGGACTATGTGACATCCGATCCTTTGATTGTCGCAACGTCCGAGTCTTTGGCCTCGGCTTCATTGACTCTCCGGACCTCAGCTGTCACGCCACTAGACTGAAGGTGAGGAGAAGGAAGTTCAGACGCCGGGCTGAGAGGCTTCAGGAAGAAAGTGTGTTTTTAAAAAAAATATATTTCCTCTGCCTCCACAGTACATGAACGGGGTTTGGGTTGCAGGGGAAAAACAGAGAACAAAAGCCACCTTCCTCAGCTCCAAAGCTTTAGACTGTGCCGTCCCATCCTTGAGCAACACCGCCGTCAATACAGAGGATTTCATGATGGATGACAAACCATACGCACGCTGGGAGATTAAGGTAAAGCTGCTTCTCATATTAACCTGTGATTTAAGTGTCTCTTGTTGGTTGATGGCTGTTTTTTCGCAAGATGTTAAGAATATCTCCTCCCTTTTCTGTCAGGTGACCAATGATGGCTCCCAGTACAGCCAGGCCAAGGTTCTGACAATCTACGACGGTGTTTGCCAGGTCTGCGAGGCCTCGCGCTCAGGACTCTGTAAGTTAAAGGTAACTCACATACAAAAGTGAACCGTGTTCTTCTCCATCCAAGTTGTTCATCTCCTCCACAGTGAACTGAGAACCGCTTATTCTGAGTCTGTTAAAGACTTGATAACTGCGTGAAAAATATTTGCAGTATACACATGTTTTGGCCCTGTCGTCACTATCATCAAGGCTCAAGGTCACAGGTGCAGAATGTATTATCTTCCAGGCGCATTTTCCGGACACATAAAATTACAGAAATTAAAAAGCTCCCATCCTAATGAACTAATCCTAATCCATAGGTAGGACAAAGACACGCGAAGACAAGTCGGTACAGTCGTCCTTCAGAAAACCTGGACTCTGTGGTGTTTGTTTATTTGAGTAGGGAAACAGATTTATGAGACAGTGGGTGTTTAGTGGAAAAGTGTGGTGAAGTGTTTTATATGCTCTGTTAGGGGTCCACAATCTGCGCCCCGAGCAAGTTGAATGATTAAACCAGAGACAAGAGTGATTTCTCATCCTCTCAACACGCAGCATCTGACTAACAACTTTACATTCATTAAAAAAACAGGTACAGAGGGGGTTCTGTTGTTACTGGAACTGCTTTTTATGGGAATACAGACAGAAAAACATGTAATCTTAACAACCAGAGTGAACACACACACACGTGTACAAACAGCTGCAGACACCAAGAAAATGTTCATGCGCTCGCCAAAGCTGAAACAAATTGAATTAACTTAAATCGAGATGTAGCGGATGACGTGTATTTAGATCTGATTTCCTGTTCCACAAGCACAAACAGCTCGAAAAAGAATATGTTTTACAGTGTTGTCATTTCTGCTGTTTGAACATGTCAACGTTTCAAAGCGATGTTGTAAATATGAGCGCACAAACCTCTCTCCGTTCCACCTCTGTTGGCCAGGAGCGGACGTGTAACATCGATGGGATGTGTTTTGCAGAGGGAGACTCCAATCCCAGCAGCCCCTGCCTCCTCTGTGACCCGGACACCTCCCAGTTCACCTGGTCTGTGAACCAAGGTACAAACCAGTTAGTGTGTCTCTCATCGTACGAAAAGAGAACAACCTTTTCATTGCTATAACTGTATGGCCAAAAATATGCGGACGGGGGTGTCCTGTACCCCTTTTGTGTAGTTTTAGAGTGGATCTGTTTGTCATGGTTTGCTCAAGGCCCCTTAGTTTTAAAGAAGGGAAATCTAAATGCTACAGCATACAGTAATAGTAGTTTTTCAGAACAGTTTGGGGGGGGGGGGCATGGCAAGCCCCTGTGCACAAAGTCAGCCCCATAAAGAAATGGTTTATTGCAGGTGTTTTCTGTTCCGCTTGCAGCCCATTAATGATGAGGAACAACAGGGAAAAGCAGCATTTATCTGACTGTATTAGTGTATTCGTCCGTCACCAACTGTGGTCCTGTTTGTCCCCGTTAGCAGATCAAAGGAGCGGAGGTTTAAGTTTCCCAGCATGCCCTGACCTGTCGCTTAACCACCCTGAGAGAGAGAGAGAGAGATGGGAGGGGAGAAGAGGGGGGAAATCACATGTTTAATTTCCACGGCGACACAGACTGACAATCAGCATTCTTTACACACAACAAAGCACATGTCAGCTGTAATAGCGCAGTGCCATAAATTACCTAGAAATGGCCTGAAAACCTGAATTTTCTCAAGCAGTGGGGTGAGATAATCCCTCCTCTCTCCAGTGCAGCTGTACAGTTTGTTGCGACCAGACAAAACTAGGCAGATGAAAGTGACTGTATCAAGAAAACTTGAGGACACTTCTTCTACAAAAGTCTTGAGACAATTTGATTTATGTTGGATGCAAGAACGATTATGTCACTGCTCTGCCACACGTTTTGCTTATTTCTCTCCAGTTAGTTTTGGAAATTCAGAAACAGTAATAATCCTATAAATCAGCAAGTGTTCTCTTGACATAACATAAGACCGTCATGCTGCGCTGGAGTTTCCTGGGATTACCATCACTTTCTTCCTATTGATCGTCTGTGGTGAGAGCGTGATCTGAGCAGTTAGAGGATGTTAAGTAATTGTGCTGATTTAGCCGTAAAGAGCTCCAGTTGGAAAGAAAAGACGGAAAACCGTCCAGCCATGGACATGTGTGTTTATAAGGATTCTTCCAAGAAAAGCCTGGATGAATGTTTGTCAGACCGAATTTACTCCAGGACACAAAGTCAATTCTGTCATCAAAACACAAAGGCTTGTATTTGGACATGTAATAATAAATAAAAAGGTGGGAATAATTGGATATTTGGATTGTAACTTCAACATATAAATTGCATCACAAATATATTTCACCACTTCCCTTTCATGTTTTCTTCCTCTTCCAGTCAACGTGCCCCCGGCCTTCCACCGGCCTCAGAGCAACCTGCGAACATTTGCCGGGGAGAACTTCGTCTTCCAGTTTGCGGCATCGGACCCCGAAGGCTCGGCGCTCCTCTTCCAACTGGAGGAGGGTCCGGGGGGCGCTGTTCTCTCCCCCGCCGGTCTCCTTATCTGGAGGGTCCCGGTGCTTCCGGAGGAGAGGGGGCGTCACTCGAGACGCTCGTTCCGCTTCACGTTGTCCGACGAGTGCAACGCCCAGAGCACCTTCACTGTGGAGGTAGAGTTGGGGGAGGAGAGGGGAGGGAGGAAGAAACTGAGAAACTTTAAGATGCTCATAGCTCTGCTAGATTAGAGGGAGCAGGTGCTTAGTAATCGTATAAAAGGATCCCTATTCATTTAAAGATGATAAAATGATTGTTATACATAGGGATCTCCCTCAGCAGTGTCTCTTTTCCATGTGCAACAGATTGATGTGGTGCCGTGTGGCTGTCAAAATGGAGGCACGTGTGTGACCGATGTCAACTTCCCCGCCGGCAGCGGGAAATACCTGTGTGTGTGCCCTGAGGGGAAACAGGGAGAGCGCTGCGCTGAGGACGTGGACGAGTGTTTGTCGGCTCCGTGCACCGTCGGCAAGTGCGTCAACACAGCCAGCGGGTACAGATGCGAGTGTCCTGCAGGGCTGAGAGGTAAGAGGTGAAGGTAGGCGCTGGAATTTATCTGCGCTGTAATTCCTGGAAAAAAAAAAGTAAGAAATACAAGAAAAGCAGGTTCTGTTTATTTCTGCCATGGCATCACATTTGCAGCTGTAGAGAATCAATCATAGTTATATTTTATAATCACAGAATCAATTTCTCATGTGCGTGTTTTTGGCAGGTATCACATGCCTGGAAGACATCAACGAGTGTGAGAGAAAACCCTGTTTCCCAGGAGTCCAGTGCTTCAATAGCTTTGGCTCCTATGGCTGCGGCCCCTGCCCCAAAGGCATGGTGGGAAATGGGACGAAATGCACGGGTAAGTGTGGGCACACTGTACACGTTTAAGGTGTGTTTTGCCAGGACAGTTCCGCTAGGATGGCACTCACACGTTAAACATCAGCAGAGAGTAACCTGCCTGCTCCCTTGCCACATGTTGCCGTGGAGAAACGGCGAGTTTTTTTCATTTACGAGAGGTATTCAGTTGCAGTCGTGCCAAATCTGGTGTCCAGTCGTGAGATCTGATCTGAAAGAACATGAGACAAAATCAAAACATCATGAGAATGAAATGAGAACATTTTACTCTGAACAGAATGGTAAAATTACACAGTAAAAAAAAAAACACATAATTTCACCATATTCAGCCTTTACTCTCTCGCCAGGTTGTTGTTTCTTTTACAAAAATAACAAATTAAGACAGGTATAATGATGAAAGAACTTCAGTGTTTACATACTGTATAAATATGAGACCCTTGTACCCCAGCTCCTACCCACAAACCTGGATCCCATTAGCAGGCATAGCATGAGTTGATCAGATACTGCTGTACTTTGAGATCCTGCAGCCATTCCGTAGCGCTGTAAGGGTCTCACATGATAAAAGAAATAAACAGATCTTCATCATGAACAATCATCCGTTGGAATCTGTGATGTCGGTTGCCGTGTTCTCTGTGATTATTTGCATGCGACCCAAAAGAACATGTAGCTCATTCTGCTAAGTGCATCACTCCGGATAACAGCATCAGCTAAATGCCCAAAATGTGAAGGCAAATTTACTCATTGCAGCCGTGCTACTCTGAGGAAGAACTCAGCAGGGACTCAGTCCTCGTGCTGAATGGAAACCAGATGGCCTGATACCGCTGCCTCCCTCCACGTGCTCACTTTGCATCGCAGCGACTGCTAACTGGAGTTAATGCATTGCAAACACTGGTTGTACTGAGAGTCGTAAAGCCTGAGGTATTCCTACCTGCAGCTGCTGCACAGGAAGCACTTCCCAGCAGTGGGGAATCTGTCGACAAAAACGCAGGAATGAAGGATGCTTCTAAATCAAATTAAGTTTGAATTATCAAAATGTATCTGTCTGGACAAAGTCGTCGGTTAATGGGAAACTTCTCTCTGTTGCAGACACACTTTTGTTTTGACGAGTGCAATTAGGGTTCATTACGGTTCATGAAAGCTGAGTCATCCTACATTCATGCTACCAGCAAACACGTCACCACACTTTGGTTTCTGATTGGATGTTAGAGTCGCAATGTGACGGTGATCCTCTTCACATTTATCAAATCTTATCAAATTCACTTCAGTGTGTTTTGAGTTGCTCACTAGATCGATGCAGAACTTGTTTTAACAGAGAAGCCATGTTGCGTTGGGCAGACTGGCGCCACAGGTGTATTTTCAGTGTGTAAAGCATGACCTTAAAACAAACCTGGGCTGAACAAGCATTTACAAATCATCCTCAGTCAGTGTTTGTGTTTACACTGAGACTATTTAGATGTCAGATGAATTGTGGCTTTCTTGCAATTGCATTGTATTGTCCTTTGAGTAATCAAAGGACGTCAACACTTGGCATCTAAGCAGGGTGAAAACCAAACCACGGTGTACATCTCAAGACTTTATCCTCCGTCCTTAATGGAAAAGTTGGCCCACAGCAGAACACACAGCATAAGTTACTGTCAGTGACATGTTGTTTGTCACTTTTATGGAACTGTGTAAAAGTAGACTCATGAGGACAGATCCTTGGATTTCCACAATCCCTTTGTTTGACTGCTTACTCCTCAGTCCTCTGATCTTCTTGAGTTGAGAGACTTTGGTTCAACTTATTTCACCTCCTTATTCAGTTCAACTTTGTGTCAGGGGCCAGCGGGGGGTGGGGGGGGGCACCATGAAGTTCCTAAATCTTAAATGTTCTGTATGCAAAGCGAGCTGCCACGCTTGTGGTTTGTAAATGTGTTGATAGGCTGTGAGTGGTGATGGATCCTTACACAAACTCAGTCCAAAGTCTCAACTCTTGCTGTGCAACATTTTGACCCTTCCAGATTTATTTTTTCCTGTTGCTTTACTGCACCATCGCGTACACTGCAGTCTCCACTTCACCTCTTTGCTATCGGTTCATTGCAGCGTGAGTGATCTTGAAATTGAATAGGAAGTCATTCCAGATAAGAGAGTCTGATAAAGACATCACATGGCAATCCAAAACATAAACTGTGTCTTCCTTCATGCAGCAGTCCTCAGGCCGGCCACCATCACTCCCACATCTGCTCCTCGTACAACAGTCTACAAGATACCAGATGTTCCGCTGCAACCTCCCAAAATAAAGACAGACACTTTCCAGAAGACCTCGAGTGGTAGCTCCCAACGGACGAGGGCTGAGGCGGGGAGGACGATTCCAAGAATTGACCCGGGCCGATCACAAGCTAAGACCACCGCTTGGAGAAAGACTCCGGGAATTAGCCCGAATCCAACCCGGACTAAGGTGGAAACCAATGAGAGCGTCACAGCGATTGCATCAACCGTCTCCCAAACAACGACAGATGCTTTGAGAAAAACCCAAGGAATTAACCTCAGTCCATCCAGCAACAACACAAACACTATGAAGAACAGCTCAGGAATGACATCAGACCAAGTCAAGCCTGATCAGCCCAAAATCAGCAACACTATTATCAAGACACCGACAGCAGCAGGAAATGGCAGACCAGCTGCAGGTAAGTCAGAAGTTCCCAACCATCTCCACCAACTGTTCTTTTCTAAAGAAATATTTACTTCTGTTTCTGTAGCAGTCAGTGGTGGGTAGAGGTGTTTCAGGGGGGTTAGGGGTAAAGGAGTGTTTACTGCTGATCCTTTTCACTATCTTTAAAGAACTTCACAAGAAAAACCAAGAACGCATGAAGCAGAAACCACTTTGCTTTCAGAAAGACAGAGAGACGACTCAGCTCGCTCAGAGCTCTGACCGGTGTTTGTGTCTCTCAGGATCGGTTCAGATTCCGGCCGCCAACGCGGCGGCTACGTGTGCCAGCAGGCCCTGCTTCCCCGGGGTTCAGTGCATCAACCGCAGGCCGCCACACGTCGGCTACGTCTGCGGCCGCTGCCCGCCCGGCCTTTACGGCAATGGACGTGTCTGTATGAAGAACGCCAAAGCGGGTAAGGGCTTCACGCAACCACTGGACCTGCAGCTCCAACACCTAATTCACTGATTTAAAGCTTTTCTAAACCTGAAACATACATGAACGTCTACTGATGAGTCAACCACAATTTACCAAATGCATGCATGAATATAAAACCTTTTCTTCCTCTTCCTATTCTTCTTTTTAATCTGAAGACACTTCCTGTGTTGTTCAGGGATAAAATAAAACACCAGGCAGTAATATGACGTCTCTCCATATGTCGTGCGCCACTTTAAAGATCTTTGATTTTTGGTTTCCCTGATGTTGTTTTATGTGTTTCTCTTGGTTGGAAGGAATGTCGTTTATTGCAGCAGACAGATCAGAGCAACCGAGACTGCCTGCCTAGATGTATTAACCACCTCTGGTGCTTTGCTTTTTAAGTCAGCACCCGGCCACAAAGCTTCAACAGAAGATTGCTTGATGTTATTTTCTCACAAGCGGAGCCGGGGGGTGGGTCCTTACAGCTCAGAAGAGACGGTTTCATTCCAACTTAAATCCCTTAACTGTGGATTGTGTTTGTCTGGAAAGACACAAAGCGGAACAGAGTGTTTGTGCAGATGAGTGTGTCAGCCTCAAACAAGACAGGAATCGCTTAAATCACTTTGCGGTGCTGCTCTGAAGAGTTCTACACAAATCAGAGCCTGTAAAAATATCTTCTAAACATTATATTCACCCAAGGAGGGATTGCCTGTGCGCTCTTTTCCAACAACATGCTATTATTTAAGCAGATATCCCTTCTCTCTTTGCTTTAACTTGAGCCCACATTGCTTTAGCATGTGGGGGAATTCAGAGCTTGTTCCTCCTAGTTACAGCTGCTGAGTTCTGACCAGGCAAGAAGGGGTCAATTTGCCAAAAGCACTGATGCCAGCTCCTGTCTTTCCTCAGCATCCAATCACCTCCCTCAGCAGCAGACAGTCAGCAAGACCAGCCGATCCCCGCATGGAGGTGGCAGCAAAGTCTCCCAGCTCCACCTGCCCAACCTGCCCAGCAGACACGCCATCAAACACCTGTCCTTGTCTGTCACCAGACCCAATCAAGATAATGCACCACGCCAGGTTCCCACATCAGGCAGGGGAGGTGGTACTGGCAGGAGAGAGGCGGTCACTGCTTCCAGAGTTGTTACAAAAACATTAGTGAACCCCCTGCATGTCACTGCGAACACTCACATCATCCACCAAAGCACCAACTCTAGAGCAGACGCCAGGACACACGCGAGAACTAGCATCACTGCCTCCAGAGAGTTTGTCGTCCCCCATGCGACTGTCTCCAAGGTGAGTCTACCTCTGCACTGTGCATCCTCCTGATGAAAGACATGAGTCATTATTCATAAAGGAGGATGTGTGAATAACCCTCTTGTCTTCTCTCCATAACCATCTCCCAGCAGTCTGAAGCAGCACTGACGGGTGCCACGCCTCTGAAGGTAACTCCTCCTCCTCCTCCTCGTGAAGTGACACAGTCCAAACAGGCAACCGAGCCTCAGCTCAACCACCTGGCATCCACCCAGGCCAAACCCTGGACCCCTCCGAGACCTGTCCTCCCACTTACAGCGGCCCTCACCGCTCTGTCCTACTCTCTGTCCGAGTCGGAGTTCTCAGCAGACGGAGACGAGGCTGAGCCTGGGTCAGAAAGCTCAGAGATGCTGCAGGTGGTCCCGGCGTTGACCTTCACAACACCAGGCAAGACGGTCTACAGCTCCCCGCTACAGAGAGCTACCCCCGTCCAACCAGGTGTTAGGAGTGGTACCACGGCCGACAAACAGGCGACGACCTGCGCCGACCTGCCGTGCTTCCCTGGCGTCCAGTGTGAACCAACCGTGGATGGGTTCAGCTGTGGGAGGTGTCCCGTAGGATACACTGGTGACGGACACGCCTGTCGAGGTACAACTCCTCACCTTCAGCAGCCGAGAGATTTGTCAATTTGTTTGTTACCTTTTTGAAATTTCTTGTAACTGCAACTTGAACGAGGGTGATGACACACTCGCTGTCCCAGAGCTCCTCCTGTCATCCGCAATCTAAATCCATCACTGTGTGGCACTCATTAGGAACATTATGATGTCAGGTGACACCAGGTCAGGGTTTGTTGCATTTAACCTGGAGCAATCCCATTAAAGCCAAATCCCAATGTGCTTAGTGAGATCAGTATCTGCACCAATGCCAATCAGGCATATGGCATCTATGTATCCCTGATGCAGGTAATTAAGACGTATCGAGCCATCATAGATTGTAAATACCACCTCAACGGCGCCCCCTGTGTGTGTTTTCAGCCGTCTGCAGACATACATGTGGCAGGAACATGGTGTGTGCTGCGCCAAACACGTGCCGCTGCAAACCAGGCTACACTGGATTAGACTGTCAGACAGGTAAATAAATAACCGGCTCACATTTATTATTATTTTAGCATCTTCATACACATTTCTGTGTGTATTGGTTTGTTTTGGGTATTCTGGTTTTCCGTTGTTGATTTTTGTATGCCCATATTTTCTCAGCCATCTGTGATCCAGAGTGTATGAACGGGGGCGTCTGCATCGCTCCGGGTGTGTGTCGGTGTCGGAGAGGCTTTCATGGAGAGACGTGTCAGGAAGGTGAGGCTTGTTTCCAAGTTTCCCAGTTGTTCCAGTCACAGGTTTATAAATCAACTATTCTAAATGATCAAACTAACGGACGTCCCGTCTCTGCAGCTCTGTGCAGGTCGCCGTGTGAAAACGGAGGCACCTGTGTGGGACTGCAGACTTGCTCCTGTCCTTATGGGTTTGTCGGACCTCGGTGTGAAACCAGTGAGTTCACAGCTACTCATTCAGAGACTAAAGCTGCTAAGGCTTGTGGGAGTTGTAGTTGCCGAATAATTACACATTTACTTCCAAAGTTTTGTTTTTTTTTTTACTTTTATTTGATCAGATTTTGTCTGACATTTGACATTTACGATCAGAAGGTTTTTGTTTTAGGTTAAGTTGTTTTCCTTACCATCATGAATGTGATATACAGTATATTATTTTTCGGTGTGTTATAGTGGTGTGTAGCCGCCACTGTCACAACGGAGGCCAGTGTGTGTCTCCAGATGAGTGCAGGTGTCTTTCAGGCTGGACTGGACCATCCTGTGACACTGGTGAGTGTGTATTATGTGTATTGTGTTTGTGTGTGTGTGTGTGTGTGTGTGTACTGACCACTCAGTGCTGATGCTCTCGCCTCTCTCTCCTCCAGCTCTCTGCTCTCCCGTCTGTCTGAACGGAGGCTCGTGTGTCCGGCCGAACATCTGCGAGTGTCCTCATGGTTTCTACGGAGCACAGTGTCAGAACGGTAAATCAACGACTAAACAGTAATTCAAGCTTCATCTGCTAAATTTGAGTTTGTGTGGAGTCAATCCAGATCCCTTTATTTCAGTATTTGTGTAAGTTTTGTTTTCCCCTTCCTCCTGCAGCCGTCTGCAGTCCTCCCTGTAAGAATGGTGGTGTCTGTATGAGGAACAACATCTGCTCCTGTCCGCAGGGATACACCGCGAGGCGCTGCGAGAAAAGTCTGTCTTCCTGCATCGTCCACCTCATCATTTCTCTCCTCATCTGTTCTTGTCTGGCACTGCTTCCCTCACTCCTTTAAGTCCCGCTTCTCTTATTATCTTCTTATCTTCCATCTCTTCTTGAATATTTTCCACTTCATCCTCATCGTTCAATGTCCTTCTGCTTTCTCTTCATCTTCCTCTATTTTAAATTTACAAACTGAAAGTGTGTTACCTAAAATTCTTCACATTACATCTGAAAAGAAACGCTGGCTTTGAATCATTTCTCTCACTCTCTACCTCTCCAGGTGTGTGCGAGCCCATGTGTATGAACGGCGGCAGGTGTGTCGGTCCAGATGTTTGCGATTGCCCGTCAGGCTGGCGAGGGAAGAGATGTGATAAACGTAAGTTGCCGTGATACAAGAATCGAACACGGACTCTTTACATTTACAACATCGTCGTCCTCCAGGCCGACGCGCTGAATGCCAGGATGCATCGGTGTGAACACCTGCGCACGTCTGACTGCAGATTCACACCGGCCTCCCAGAATCAACACCAAAACCTAAACTCGTCTGTTTGTTATTAAGCAGTTGTTGAAAGAAAGAACAGGGAAAATCAAAGTAAAGTCACTCAAATGTGTTTGAAGAAGTGATTTAAAGTATGAATGGAATATTTGACAATCGTTTAGAATTGACTGATTCATTATTTAACATTTAAGAATGTTTTTAATTGCTATTCAAAGTCGTTGTCATTTTTCAGTCCACTGACTAATCTGCTCTATTAAAAAGAGACTGTGTTGGACAGAAAACCTACACCACTACCTCAGAATGGATTTCACCATCAAAACTTTTCCACCACGTTGCTACGAAACTCACCGCAGTGAAGCAGAGACTTCAGGTACAGTGACACTGTCCGAACCCTCCGGCCTCTGCTGACAGACGCCTCCACAAGTGGCGCCTCACATATGGGAACCATCAGCTCCAACGTCTGCGGTGTTTTATGGTTCCGACCTTCATGAGGCTGAGAAGGGGGGACGGGGATTAACCACAGATAACCATTATCTGTTGGAGCTCAGATCTGCAGCTTTTATTTTGAAGGAGGCGTGCTGGCAGCCTTGACGTCCTCCTTCATCAGTTCACACATCGACACCAGCCACTCACCAGGATGGACTGTCGGTGACCGTGAGGCATCTGGATATTCTCCACAGCTGCTTTTTCTGCAACATTTGGTTTCACTGTCCTTTTTTTTTCCTCCATTGTTGCTCCTGTTGTTTTTATTTTTGTTCTGCAGCCGCTGACCTCACACCCGACCACACCTGAACCTGCGGGCAGTGGCAAATGACAAAAAGACCATGAACAAACTGCATTTCAAGCCAACACCTGAGCAGAGAGTGTTTATACTGACACAGAAAATCCCACAGTTAAGATGCAAGTCAAATGAAGTGTCTCTAAGGTTAAGTGTTGTGTGTCCTCCCAGCCAGCTGTCTGCAGAAGTGTTTGAATGGAGGGGAGTGTGTGGGTCCCAACACCTGCCACTGCGCACCGGGGTGGCAAGGCATGCTGTGCCAGATCCGTGAGTATTACAACACGACCTCTGGAAGTTATTCCACGTGAAAAGGATTAGATGTCATACGCTAAGATTGTCATTAATGAAAATTATGCCATAGATGTGAAATATCCCCCTTTCTGAAAGGCTTTTTTTTTAACCTTTCTTTTACACAAGTTGTGTTGTACGCTAGATGAGGATATAGATTGTCATCCCAAAACCAACAGATTTGCAGGTCCTGATATTCATCTAAGTTAAAACTGGGATAAATTTGGTTGAAAAATTAAAGACAGTGTCCTGGCTGAATCATATAATTAAACTTTACTATATGTTCGTTCTGGTTTATTGTTTATTTCCTGTGATTTCTCAGCCCTCTGTGAACAGAAGTGTCTGTATGGCAGTCGATGTGTCCAACCTAATGTCTGCGCCTGCCGGAGCGGGTACTCAGGTTCTCTTTGCTCCAGGAGGGTAAGAAGAACTGGAGATTGTTTTGAAGCAAAAGACAGTTTAGCATGTAAACGGTGTCATTTAGGAACAGACCAGGGTTACTGGGTAGTGTAAAACTGGACTTCTCAACCACTTCTATAACTTAAAATACTAAATCTCCCTCCTTTTCTGGATTCTCATATGGTTTTAAACTCCAGCCCTGAAGTTATATGTTTTTATAGTGTTTTTCCAGCTGGTCTGAGATTCACACATATGTGAGTCAGGAGATCTGTATATGAAGAAAACTGGAAGCACGTGAAAATGCATCCATGAATTGACCAGTTACAGATGAGGGGGGGGGGTTGAAAAAGTTTCAATGATAACAGTGAGCCTGTGAACGCTGCAGTGATCAAAGCAATGTGCAGCACTTTGTTCTGGATGTGAATTCACCATTTTATCTGCGCAAACATACAAATTCAGCTTCCCTGTCTCCAGATGTTTAACCCAATCCTTTTTAGCTGGATTTCTGAAAAGAAAATAGAAAAAGAAATTAGTTTTTCACAGTCAAAGTTTTCTATACCTTCTACATCTTTCATTTCTGTGACTGTCATTGTAAGATCTCATATTCTTGTTTTTTTCAGCTCCCTATCGCCCAAGGTTGAGATCCACTCAGAACCAGCAAACACCGATCAGTACAGACAAACCCTTTAGGTCATCCAGAGCCATCAGCACAGAGTATCATCAAGAGAAAAAACCAGAGGGTCTTAATTCTCTCCACTGGATTACACTGCAAAGTTCAAACTCCAGGAAATCACTCAAATTCTTTTCAAACCAAGCCCACTAAAGTCTGAGTCCAAAAGTCAGTTTCATCTCTGTGTGTCCAGCACAGGACCTGGCTCAGCACTTAAACTGGAAACAGAGGGAAAACTACTTTTGTGCTTATTGCAGTTATTTCTTGACAAACTGTCCTGCATCTCTAGCTGCAGCAAGGGTTGTCAGTGTATAAATTCCAATACTGCCAAACTGTTAGAACATGGTTTTCACAGTTTCCCCTTGCTTCCAGTCTTTGTGCTAAGCTAGGCTAATGAGACACTGACTTGTTATTGTACTGACAGACGGAGATAAAGACTTTATTATTTACTTTTGCTACACATGTATTCTGCAGACAGGAAATGGGGGAAACCTGAATTTCACCATTTAGTATTTGGTACACGGTTCTTCCTTCATCGGTAACATTGATCATTTTGAATCTGCAGTGGAGGTTGTTCTCTCCTCTATAACACTTTATATTTTTCACTGTAAACGCCATCCTGTTCAGGTTTTACACTTCAAACCCAAACCTCTGTATGAGTATTTATTTATTTGGTTGTTTTATACTGTCCTATATTTCTTGTTGTATATATCTTAATCACTGTATAATCTATATTATTTCTTATTAAAGCATTGTTTATTGGTTGTTTTGTAAGAAAACAAATAAAGATCCTATTAAGGTATTGATTTCTTCACATTTCGTTTAAGGTATGGAGAGCAGCTTTAATTATTTAGATGTATTTTTTTAAAACTGTTAATAATTTTTTAAGGTTTGTTGAATCGAAGCTCTGTGGTCAAACTTGATATTTGCATTCTTTGGTGTGGAATGAACCGAAAGAAGGATACTTTTGTGTTTGGTTTGTTCGGTGACAACTGAAGTCAACCAGGAGTTGGGTGAAGTCAAATGACTAGTTCCATGTTGAGACTGTGTTTTTCCCTTTTGTGAAGGTCTCTGTGTTTAAATATATGATCATAGAGTCATACAATTTGATGTGATGAGACACAGGCTACACGTTGGAGTCAATCACGGCTTGTGATTGTACTGCGTCATGAACACAGTTGTCAAACTCAACGAGAGAAGACACAAAATTCTGACATGCTAGTTTTTTTTTTGTTAAGAAATTGTGAAGTTTCCCAAGTGAAGTTTGGGTTTTCCCCTATCTTAAACTAACCCTATCCATGTGAGCGGATGATCACACCCAAAGGTGGTGTGTTGCAAAGAGGAGGGGCCCCAGCACCAAGCCTTAGGGCACCCCTGTGGGGAGGCAATGGGATATAGACGTGTGCTGTGAAAACATATCAGAGAGTACGGATGCAGGATGTGGAAGTTCGATGTGTTAAAGGCTGCTGATTGGTCCAGCAAGATCAGAAGTGAGGACTGAGCTGCAGCTCTTGCTGACGGACTACAAATCACTTTATATGACAGCTGAAACAGGTACGATAACACTACCAGATGGCTCATGTTGGGCTCCTCCTAGTATCAGACATACTGTGGTTCCTTACCTTTCACACAGATGGTTTGAAGTTCTCCATCCGTCTCCTTGCACCCATAATTCCTTGTTAACAGCTATTCTTGGAACTGAAGACCTCCGACATGGCCACCAGAGGATGTGTGAGATCACCTGAAAAGTATAGATTTAATCAAAGATTATGGGGCAATCAAATAGTGTTCAAAAGATCTTATAACATTTATATTTTCTGATATTAGTATGTGTTCACAATCTGTTTGCGACACCCTAAATAGATTTTAGTTTGGTGGCGTTCCTTGAGGTTCTCTGGGACTGGCTGTTTGTCGGCAGCAGCGGAGAAGCATTTGACTTTGCTGCAGGGGCCAGACAAGTTCACAGCCAGCGGGTCGGGGCCACAGGGGCCGCGAGGAAATGAGGATTAAGAGATTAATGAGGCCACATTAGCTCCGCACCAGTTAGGATTCCTCCCTGCCAGCCTCTCCCTGACTCCTGCCTCCACCGTTTGACTTTTTACAACTGATTAGGATGAAGCTGGACGCTTTGTTAAACCGCAGCAGGAGCAACAAGCTGGGCCCTCTGTTGATATTTGTTTCTATCACTCTTATCCCCTTTAGCATGTTGCTTTAACACGTATCACAATTTTTCTTTTCAAAGTTATGGAGGACATTTCTGCTAAATATGTTGCTGTAAATCCTGTTTGACCTTGGATTAGGACTCCTGTAGCAGGAAGAATCCTGCAAGCAGATGACCCTTGACCTCAACCAGTTACTACATATCTTCTGTTTGGGTTGCCTGCTTATTGGAAGAAGACTTGACTCTGCCAAAATTCAATATTTTTGAAAGAAAAAAAAACACAAACGAACAGAAATGATCATTAAGGATTTGCTGCCCTCTGCTGGCAGCAGTTACGACATCAAGAATATCAAATACACAGAAATGCTGATAAAACTGGAGGTGTGAAACGTTCATGAAATCCACAGCTCTGTGATGCTGAGCCAAAATTTTAATGACCACTAAATCAATTTACAAGGCAACATCATTAAGTTTACATGAACTTTATTTCTCTGCTGTGATTTGAATGAAATTGACAAACCAACTTGAAGGTCATTGCGAGCCTTTACAGCAACACACACAAGGCATCGTCCGTTCAGATATTTATATCCACTCCCAAAGATGGCACTGGTCAAGGTGGAGGAGGAGGGGAGGGGGTGTACGTGTCCATCATGGTGGGTACAGACAGAACAGGACGGGACGGAACGGGACGGGACGGGTGGGTACACCTGGACTGTTCACTCAATGGAAGCTCAGAGCCGCCGGCCAAGGCAGCAAAGTTACCCTCCACCCTGGATGCCAACAGGCAGGACACAAACACATAACACTGGTTATTAGTAACCCACAGTGTGGAGGATTAGACTGCTGCGACAACAAGTGTCCATCAAGTCCATCAGCAAAGTTAGAGAATGTAAAGTCAGAGAGGGGAGTGTTTTTAAAAATGACATTCCACTGCTGAGGAAGGTCAAAGTTTCCAAATCCTTAGAAGAGGTTTAATGAGGAAGATGTGACACTTGACTCCCTTCACTGGTTAAATTTGTCTTTTAAAGAGTCAGTGACGTCCAGAGAATGCTGGATGCACAGCTGGATTTGCCCTCTTGCTCTAGTTGGCAGCATTATAAATCAACATCCACTCAACAGGTTCCTAAACCTCCAGTTGTTACGTTCGTCTTCACAGAGACACAAGACGCGTGGGATGGAAAAAGTTCATTTCATGGTGCCTGTGTCTGCACAGGGTCCACACAGATGTCTGAGGACCGAATCTGGGCTAAACTTGCCAACTGCAATTGCAAGTGTGTAAACATATCCACTACACATACACACATGTGCTGTCCACATCTGTACCCGTTTTGGAGCATCTCAGGGCTTTAATAAATAACACGCATGCCCTACAGTTTTCCACTCGGATGCTTGTTCAGACAGGACGGGGATTAGGAGGGAAAACTATGCTAATTAAATTGTATAGGGAGTTCAGGTCACGCTTCCTGAAAGAGCTTTTAATACTAAACTCATCCAGCCTGGCTTCTCCTCGGGGGGTGGGGGGGGGGTTTCATTGATGTCTCCATAATTTAGGATCAGGAAAAACATTCATTATAGGCCTGAGTAATTGTTTCAAACTTTCTGGTCTTAATAAAAACAAATTAAGCTTTCAAATACATGTTTGCTCCTTCACTTATTTAGTTAGTTATTTCATATTCAACTGAAACTGATTGTCAGATGGACATTGGTACATAATATCATCTTTGGGCTTCAAACCTGATTAAATATCTGTGTACAGTTATAGGAGGATTTTCCCTATTTTCTGCCAATGTTGAATTTAATAATAATAATGACAATAATACATGTTATTATAGACTCTTTGCCACCGTCACGAGAAGTGACAGATTTTCCTATATCCTGTCAAAATATCATAAGTGTGGATCTGGAGCTGCCAGTATCGGAAGCCCCATATCGGTCGAGCCTAATTTAAACCCCTATCCTCCAGACCACAACAGGTGCCCCCTCCTCCCCTCCCGTTAGGCTCCACCTGTCTTCCCTTCTCCTGGGCTCGCGACCCAGAAAGCAGCCGTCATTCATTACAAATGGTATGCCGATCCGCCGGGGGCCGGGCGGCACAAACCCCCTCGGTCACCGGATCGGCGGCAGCTGCTCGGCCCCCGGTTCTATTTTCACCCTCAGGATAAAGTGATGTGCAGCCGCCGCCCGCCCGCACGGCCCCAGAAGCTCCAGTCAGACCACAGCAGAGCCAGGATGAAGTCCACAGGCAGTGAGCGCAGCGCGCAGCCCGACTGCTTCACCTCCGACCTGGACGACCTGGACACGAGCAGCGACAGCTCCGACGGGAAGTCCACCGGCGGCTGCAGCCCGCGCAGAGAGCCGGAGGACGCTACAGGGAAGGAGACAGTCCCCGGTGGAAGTTCTCGTTCCGGTGCCTCCAGGCGAAGGAGAAGGCGGAGAAGGAACAGCTCCGGAGGTGGAAGAGGCGGCGGAGACGCGCATCTGTCCGGAGTGAGCAAGCAAAGACAAGCGGCCAACGCGCGGGAGCGGGACAGGACGCACAGCGTGAACACGGCCTTCACTGCGCTCCGCACGCTCATTCCCACCGAGCCGGCCGACAGGAAGCTCTCCAAGATAGAGACACTGCGCCTGGCGTCCAGCTACATCTCCCACCTGGCCAACGTGCTGCTGCTGGGGGAGGACTGCCGGGACGGACAGCCCTGCCTCCGCTACCAGAGCATCCTGCACGGCCCCGGCGCGCCCTCCCTGCGGCCCATCTGCACTTTCTGCCTCAGCAACCAGAGGAAACTGGTGAGTGGTCATTGACACGTGTCAAAACTGAGCACATTCCTGCACAAACTACCTCCCGCTCTCCAAGACTGCCCGGTGTTGGGTTTTACGCAGAACCAGACAGGTACATGTCCCAACGGGACTCCGTCCAAGTAAGAAAGGCCTGCTCTGTAAAGTAAGGCAGGTGATGCCACCTGTGCAGCCTGCATCCTCTTTATGTTGGAAATAGGTTTTCAAGTGCTGAGTTTGCATGAAGAGATCCGGTTCAAAGATGATGTGGGTTCACCAGAGTGGCACCTGTTTCTCCAGTGATTGACAACGCAGAATGACAACATGCTGTGGTGCCTTCACAGGTTTAAAACAAGTGTAGGCCTTTGACTCAGATCTAAACTCCAGGTTGTTTTCTAGAAGAAAACAGTTTGAGGTAAAAGTCTGGAACACTCTTTTTAATGGATAAATATTGTTTGTTAACTAATGATGAATTATACTGTATGCGATTTATTTTTATTTAAACATTCACGGTTCTTCAGACTTTAAGGACTCACAGGGTCCACAGAAAATTCACATATAAACTAATGTATGCCAAACAAACAACACTTCTACAGAAGCTGCAGATTAAACATTAAGTTTAAATTAAAAACAACTAAAAAAGCTCCATGGTTATAGAAAAATATTCTAACTATAAATATATATTACTAATATGATTATATTAATTACTATATTAATATATTATATTTAGACAGTGAACGATCATTTCTATCCTGAACAGACGTGTAGTAGTGGATTAGATGTGCTAATAGTACGTGGTGGTGTTTGGCTCCACTCTTGGCTGTTAAAAATAGAGACTAGACACTGGCAGCAGATCAGAAATATTATGTCACTATTACTTTTAAATGTAAAACTCTAACTCAATTCAAATTAGGAAATTGTGTGAGGCTTCATTTGACTTCTTTCTCACACTAATCAACCTGACATTTCTTCATTTAAGCGCAGTCATTTTTATACTACCTTGTTTCAAAGTATAGTTAATAACAGTAAACTGTAAATGTTTAGACATTTTAACATTGGTGTCTACAGGTTTACATGTCGTGATGCTTTCACTGAACTGTTGAAAATGACGTTTCTTTGCTTCCACAGCTCAGAGATGGAGGGAAGCACTCAGCCGCTGTGTGAAGCAAAGCGGCTCTGGACAGACGAGGAGTCCATCTTGATGTTGTTTACATGTAGACACGTGGCGTATAAACACACCTGTAGGACTTTGTACATATATAAATATATTTATTTTTGGATTAGACTAGAGAACCAAAGACACAACTAACACTGAAAAGCACTTTCTGTTCACGTTCGTGTGCTTCTGAACCTCTGTGTTTTGGTTGAGCTGTAACCTGAGCCAATGTGTAAAGTTGCACCTGACGGGGGGCTATTTTGGTCCCACGAATAGTACAACCCCAACCCCCCCCCCCCACCGTGTGTCTGACTAATAAAAAAAGCCTTGTCGCCTTCAGTCACATGAAGGAAACTGAAGAGCTGCTACTGCAGCGGTTGCTGTCAGTTGAGTGGCTTTAATGCTGCCTTCAAGTGCTGTTAGAATTATTGCAATTATGCAGGGGCACTTTAAAGGGCCAGTAACTGAGCTATCACCTCTAGTGGTGAAAAGTAGGAACTGCAATAACACTGCTCTGTCCACATTAAAAGCCTGGTCATGTTGCTGAAGGTTTGTAGTGACATCCTACACAAAGAGCAACAAGAGATCGCACTATTTTTTTTCGCAACACTATGACAAACGTGTGTTTTTGTCAAATTAACCACAGGTATGACATCTGTTTTTTTTTTTGGGGTACATTAAAGCGTCATCCTGTATTTCAGACAAAAAGCAAGGCCGACTTTAGACGCAACGTGACTGCACGGTGGGAAGACACCACCACACGTAAATTCTCTCCGGGTGGCACAAATTGATCCGATGGATCTACTTAATAAATGTAGAGATGAGAGGAAAAAGGAAAGAGTGAGGTGGAAAACAACAGAAAGAAGGTGAAATGAATGAAGCAAGGCCTTAAAAAGTTTTAATACAATCACAAATAGGTGGGGGATCAATTTGGGAGAGAGATTATACATATCTAAGTTACTTTGGATAAACTCAGGGGAAGATTTAATTTAGTTTTACTTTCGAAGATGGTGCCCTGGTTGAGTCCACTACAGCGACAGTTTCTGTACATATGCAAATTAATAGCTGTCACTATTTTGCACAAAGATAAGTATGAATTTCTTGAGAAATCGGGCTCAGTCACACGTGCGACAGCATGAGTTTTGAGCCTCCATTGATGTGACGTGATATGACTTTTCAGTCAAGTTTTTTGTGAGTATGTCACTCCTGCAACAGGCAAACGTTCTACACTGAGTGGTAGGCTGGTTAAAGGCAGACAAATATTTGACCTGCTTTATTATTTTTAAAATCTTAACTTTAACAAACAAAGGTGGATTTGGGATCAGGGATGATTTGATTGGATTTTGGTGACATGAAGGTGGAAATCAGACTGTTGATTTCAAAACATTGGAACTGAAGAGTTAATTAATGATTTGTTCCTAGTTTGACGAAGTCTCATGGGATACTACTTTTACTCTGTCTCTCTCTTGTTTGTCAAAAGTTTTGCTTTTGGCCTGAATTCAAGATGAACTGTTGAGATAACTATATTTGCAGTGTGATGAAATGTTTACTATTGCGTTGTTGCACAATCTCTGTATCACTTTAAAAACACAAAACTAAACGTTTTGTGCGCACATGAATGTGTGATGCCCCGGCATGCAACGTGCATTAGGTTGCCTTTTGCACTTATTTGGAAAGTATATAATCATTTTGCAATCATCTAGATCCCTCGATATGAATTACACAGCAAATATGGATGGAAACTATCACTGGAAAATGTTGCACACTACCTCAAACCTGTTTTAAATATGAAGGCCTACCTCTAAATCTAATGTGTAACATGACTGTATAAAAACGTACTTGAATACCTGACAACTGTGTCCTTTGCACATTGCAAACATTGAGAAGCTGCTTGAAGATAAATGTATTTTTGTACAATAAAGATAAAAATGAGAATATCAAGTTTTCTGCAAATGCTCTAAAATGTATTGTGTGGTGTAGTGTGTGGACGCAACTGCACTAAATCTAACGCAATCCAATTCACCAGCCTTCCAGTTATTTGTACTATTAATATTCCTCCTGGAAAGATGATGACCTCTACATTAAATGAAGTGCTCTAATGGAGGATAATGAAGCCAATCAGACTAGGTTACATCTGGATGGAAGTCAACTGCTGCCAGTAAAAGAAAAAGTGATTCAAAGCCACAGTAAACACAGAAATGCTCAGGATAAAACCATAGTAGAGATATTAAATTAAAAAGTAGACTTCAATCATGACTAACAACTATGTAAATCATAGATGTCTTACAATGAAATTTTTTGTGTTAATGACTTACTCCACTCTTCCCGGCAGCAATCAACTTCCACAAATGACAGTACATGTTTTGTGATACCTGAAGCTAAAATAATCTTCATAAATATTCTAAATTATTTTATAATTCGAGAAAGATTTAAGCGCGATTCAAATGCAAAAATATCAATGTTAAAAGTGATTTTGTGACAAATGTTTTGTTGGAAAATCTGACATCATGCTCACAAAATACTTTTCAACTTGCTTACTTGTAGAGTTCTTCAATAATCTAATAGAAACCGAAAGCTTGATTTCTTTTTCCATGCACTTTATTCTGATGTTTATTATAGCTAAGAAATTTTTGATCTTGCATCACAATCGTAGTTCTGTAGCTACTTTCCTACGTAAATACAAAGAACACAGGAAGATCCATTTCAATAATCTTTATTTCATAAAAAAGTCAATCGGTTTATATCAGATTAAAGAAAGTAGAAACCAATAATAATCAGTTAGCTGGCGAGGCATCTTACAGGGGTGCGTGTCTTCTGACGGACTGACCAGAGCGACCTCGACACGCAGTACAGGTTTACCCAAAAGTCAAGAAAGAAGGTAAGTTTAAGACCGAACAGGAGCCAAAAACGTGAGCTGGGCAAAATAAAAATAAAATAAAAAGGAGAGGGAGAAAAGAAGAAAAAGGAACTTTGGCTGAATTACATTAACATTTTTGTCAGCCTCGTAGTCGCATGGCAAAAAGGCAAACTTGAATTTTACCAAATTCTGGTTCAGATTCATACAAGCAGCGGCTATAGAGATCACATGGAATGTTTTGTATCCAAATTACAGAAGGCATTACAACAATAATACCAAAAAAAAAATAAAGAGAGGAGGATCCATAGTTTTCCGCTTCCACTGTCAGCCGCAACATCAAACATTACGAATAAGGACTGAGCCCTTTTTTATTTTGCTTAAATAACGTTTAAATGTTTAAGTGGAGGTGTGTGTGTTTGGGGATAAAGTATTAACAGGAGGTAGAAGAGAAAGAAGGGAAAACACATTCTACTGCTCCTGCTTGTAAAAAAAAAAAAAAAAAAGAAAAAGAAAAAAGAAAAGCTCATCTGGCGATGGAGGTTTTAGTCTGCTTCCTCCTCGTCCGACTCTGACTCTGGAGGGAGAACATGAGGAGTCAGTCAATAGTCAGACAATAATTTCCTCAATGGAGAATTCGCTTAGTTTTTAACCTGTCATACAATATTGAAGAACGACCATGGCAATGACTGAAAGCCTGACATTTTGTGTGTCCAACTGCAAAAACATTCACATGCAATAAATCTTCTATGATAGAAACTATTATTTATGTTCTGGGCTGCAGATTGGACAAAAGACGTTTAAATGTATCAACTTGAGCTTTAGGAAATCGTGGTTTCCAACATTTCGCCCAACGATTGATCGGGGGAAAGAAAAAAAAAAAAACCCACCACATTACATGATTTTGAAAAACATCATTACTCACAGTCCTATATCTGGTTTTGAGTTACTGACTTTCATTGTATGAACTTCTAAAACACCAGTGTAACTCTAATAAAAACTTCATCATCCATACACCAGCTCACTGACTCCTAAATGGCAGGAGAAATCATTAACAGCTCTACCTGTGCTTTTCCTGCTGTGACAAGTCCAAGTATCTAGCGTGAGAAATGTTTACTGCCTACAGGTGGAGGAGGGTGTGTGTGTGTGTTTTTTTATTTTTTTTACCTTCCTCTGCATTCTTCAGCCACTCAACAAATTTTTTCATCTGCTCCAGGAAAACACTCTTCCCCTTGGCAAGGTGGGCTTCGGTGTACCACTTCAGTATGGCCTCTTCGCTCAATACATCCGCTGTGAGGAGGGAAAGGGAAAGTGTCAAAGCTGTGCAGGACGACTGACCAGTATCACATTCTACATTCGCTCAAAATGCCTGAAAAATGCCTTTGTAATGGATCTTTCAGAGAAAACGTTAACTGATGCTTGGTGGGAAGTACTGCTCGTGGCTCGTTAGTCAAGGCTTTAAAAACCAGTTTTGAAGGGTTGGGCTTCAATTATTTCAAAATGTGCTACAGTTTTATCTCAATGGCGTAGCCTGCAAAGCTTGCAGCTTAAAAATGACACCAAGCATTAGAGGTACAACAGTCAACAGGTCAAGGAAATGTTGAAAAATGACCTCGTACTTCTCAGCGTTAAAAGTGAACGGACTTTCATAAACCTAAAACAAAATGAGACAAACTGTCAGTGGATAGTTTAGATTAGGTGACTTGGCATCGATGCAGAATGTTCCTCTGCGGACGTGACACCAACCTTTGTAGAGGAGCACCACGATCTTCTGAAAGGCCTTCATGAAGTGGATGTTGTCGTAGCAGTACTCCTGAATCTTCAGTAGCAGGCTGAGCTCAGACAGACCCTGGGAGGTGAAGGCTTTCAGCAGAGGGCTGTATTGCTGGAAGACAGAGAGACATGAATAAGGCTAGCGCAGAGGAAAAAATAGCTCTTCCTCTCAGGGGCAGAGTTGGAAATGCACTCAGCAAGCTCTCTGAGGAGTTATCATGGCTGTAGTAAAAGCCTGTTGGTGCATTAAAGCTCATCGATTTACAGCAGGATCAAGATTTTAATTATAGCAACAGCAGCTGAATGTTCCTCTTCCATTTTGTAACTAATGCGGCTTTATTTTAGAGAGGTCTGGCGGATTTTAACACCATGAACATCACA